TTTCCCCATAAGCTATGACAGAGATACGATTACAGTAAACAACAACATTGCTATGAAAAGCGAAACAATCAAAGTGTGGGAGTCTCACTGATTGATTTATTTAAAGTGCTTGATTAACTGGTTGAGCGAGACTGGTTTTGTAAATTAAAACCGATAAATAATTTCTGGATAGATAGAGATGCAAAATTAAAAAAAAAAAAAAAGGAAAAAAATCATTTACTTACCTGTTGTAAAATAAATTAATAACAATAATAATATCCATTGAATAATAGCCGCAACCGCTTTAGGCGCTTTTGGCCAGAGGTATGAGCGGCATAACGATCTATTGTTTTGAGGCCTACGGGTTAGTCTTGATGCTAATGACAGTGATGATCTTGTTGTCGTTGCTGTTATTGTTGGTGTTGTTGTTGCTATTTTATGTAAGTTAAATATATATTGTTGTTGTTCTTGTTCTATTGGTGATGCATCATCACTGGTTGTAGACATGGTGCTGAAGATGTTGATCGTGTTAATGCCGATGTTGGTGCTATTGTTGTGGTAGTTGTTTCAGTTTGTTGATGATCGTGTTAATGTGTTTTTTTGTTTTATGTTTTTTCTTTTCTTTATTTTTATTTTTATTTTTTTTTGCTATATTCTCTGAGCCGTTACTGGTTTCGTTGTTGCTGCTGGTTTGTAATGTCTACTAATTCTGTTAATGACAATGGCGGCAACCACAACTTTGACTGTATAGTGATGGTATTGCTGTTAATGATGACGAATTCGCTGTCGTTCGTTTCTTATGCATTATTTTCAATTTCGTTTTACTGTCGGTTGTCTCTGTTGTTTTTCTTATTGTTGTCGCGCTATTGTTGCTGTTGCTGTTGCTTATTTGGCTTTCAAAACATCGATTTTGAAACAAGAAACCATTAACATATATTTACAAACTTGAGTGAGCACATCCACATACGCATTAACACAAACGCAAGTAGATATATATGCATCGATATTTAAGTAAAAAAATTTATTTATTTCTCAACTATACACCATTAAATTATTTTAATTTTTCTCTTTAATTTTTTCATAAATATATTTCACTTTTTTTTCTTTTTTTTTTTTAACATATCTTCCCTATAATGGATGATGTTGTTAGCGTTGTACAAAATAAAAAGTTACACTTTCTCAATTAGAACTGGTTATAGGAAACGAACGGTTGCTCTTTTTGATTTGTGGCTCTTGTTGTTGGTATTATTATTATTATTATGATTATTATTATTAGTCGCCTTAACCTGTTTAACAAAAAAAAAAATCACACAACATAATACTTTCGGTAACCATTACATTTTATTCGCATTAATTATTGACAAAATTTCCTTAACGTTCATTAAATTCCACATTTTTTTTTTTTTTCTCATAAAATATATTTTGAAATTTGCACAAAATATAATTTTTAACTAATTTCCTAGATATGTGAAAAATGAATTTTTCCTTTTTTCTTTTACTTTTTAATAAAATTCCATCTCAGTTGCGCTTACACTAAACCGTATAATGCTATCTCTGCTGCTGCATATGAAAACGTCATGTTTTAAACTGTTTAGCGTTGCTTTGGTTTCTAATTGCGAAAAAAACACGTTAAATACTCACGAGAACCGTTTCAAGACTAAAGTAACAATTGTGAGCGCGCCTCTAGACCTAACTTTGATTGTGCATGTGTTGTTTTTTTTTTTTTTTTTTTTTTTGGTAGCAAAAATACGTACAATGGTCACACAGCTATTCATTGTATCTCAGTCTTACTCAAGCGAAATAGATAATGATGTTAGTTAGTTAGCGTACCACTAATGTATAGAGTTTATTAGGACTTTACTAACTTGTTAGTGCAGTTCTGCTGCCACACATAGTGAATTAAATTGAAACAGAGAGAGATATTAACTGATTGCTGTACATTCCCATAAATTCAGGTGTAAACAGGGAAAATATTTTATGCATAGACACAGATATGTTAGAGTAGAGTTTTAGCAACATGAATATGTTGCTGAAATTCAACATGAAATGTAAGGTAAGTGTCTCCGGTAAAGAATTGATCGTTATAAAGAGTTCTGCAAAAAAATCATTGTAATGAATGGGGTGACCAGCCATAGTTCCTTCAAAAGAGATAGCAATTAGATTAAGTCAACGTTTATATGTTTTGTTTTGACCGGAGTCATAAATCTGTTCAAATATATGTAAATATATGTATATTTCACATATAAGGTTTTTTGCTGCTTGGCAGCGATAATCGAAGAATGCTCGATAGTAGGACATGAAATAAGTCGGATTACAACTTTGACTTGCTTTGCTTTTCCCTTTCTGTAAATCGCCCTTGATTACAACCCATATAAGTGGTAGAATGTGCATTCCGTGTCAAATATTGTAAGTAAATATTCCGTAAGTCAATGAATAAAATCTGAAAGAAAACCATCGTCATACGTATCTAAAACCGTTGTATATATATGAAAGGCACCAAGTGGTAGCGACGTAAAATAAGAATTGAATTAATATTGAATTTATCGAATTGGTCCTAGATTTGTGCGATTAACGCACGGAGAGTCACAATATCCATGAAAATAATTGCAGTCATTACAGGTTAAGCTTTTGGATTTAATCTCTTATTCAGTAAAAGGTAACAAAATAAAATTACATAAGAAACGTCAGGCACTACACTAGCGAGTTCCACGTGGCCACCGAAAATTTTTAGTTTTTAGAGTTTTTGAAATCCTAAACTTGGCATTTCGCTGCCTAAAAGTCTTGCATTCCTAAAAATCTCTTTCATGCGCAAAAAAACAACACAACAATCATATAAGAAATCTTTCTCGATCCATCTTGTCGCCCTTTCGGGCATCTTGGAGAAACTCAAATTTGTGAGAGAAATTTAAAACTTGAAGCAAGCATAATCCGCCCACAGCTATGTTCTGACTTCTAATCCCAGGCTACTTGCGCTCTCAAATTGAAGAACTAAATACGATCAGTATCTACGCAAGCACAATAAGCAAAAAACTTTTCTTTTTTTTTTTTTTTAGAAAAGAGGTATTGATTAAAAAATGCTCGTTATAGGCTAAGTGACACGCCTTTATTTAGTGAACTAAATTTTGAAATTTTGTTAAAGTTACAACTTGAAATTATGTATGATCCGCCAATAAACCCGGTGGACAGGAAAACTTTCACTTCAAATCTGAAACGTATATTAGGTTGGGGAAAAAGAAATCCGTTATTTTTATATGAACTTCAGGACTTTATTTAACATGGTTCGGATTGTCCGATTTGGGTCAAATATGCACCGTTTTGTTGTATGATTTGTTGCCATTTTAAAGGTAACTTCAAAATGCCTCTCTCATAGAAGTCCTGGTCTCTATTTGCAAAAAAATCTAGTAGTCGATTTTCACAATCCTCCCTAGATTCCAATTTTTTATCATTAAAGAAATTTTGCAATGCAAGAAAAAGATGATAATCGCTTGGAGCCAAGTCCGGACTGTATGGCGGATGCATTAAAACTTCCCAACCAAGCTCCCGAATTTTCTGGCGAGTCACTGTAGATGTGTGTGGCCTAGCGTTGTCCTGGTGGAACACGACACCTCTCCTGTTGGCTAATGCTGGCCGTTTCTGGTCAATCGCTATCTTCAAACGGTCCAGTTGTTGACAGTAGAGATTAGAATTTTGCGTTTGGCCATATGGAAGGAACTCATAATAAATAATCCCCTTCCAGTCCCACCAAATGCATAGCAAAACCTTCCCGGCCGTTTGAGGTGCTTCACCGCTCTTTGACCACGATCGTTTTCGCACAGGGTTATCGTATGTGATCCATTTCTCATCTCCAGTCACCATCCGTTTAAGAAATGGGTCTATCTCATTCCGTTTGGCCAAGGCTTCGCAGATGGAAATTCGATCCATCATGTTTTTTTCTGTTAATTGGTGTGGCACCCAAACATCGAGCTTCTTTTTGAATCCAGCTTTGTGTAAATGGTTTAAAACTGTTTTATGGTCGATTTTTAGCTCCTGGGCGATGTTACGACTGCTAACATGCCGGTCAACTTCGATCATTTCTCCGATTTTATCGACATTTTCGACGACCGGCCTACCTGTGCGAGGTGCATCTTTAACATCAAAAATTCCTGAACGGAGTCTACGAAACCAAAATTGCACATAATTGGCTGTTACAGTATCGGAACCATAAACACCATTCACAATTTTAGCCGCCTGGCTTGCATTTTCGCCTTTGTCAAAGAAAAACTGTAAAATGTACCGAATTTTCTCTTTGTTCACTTCCATTTTTAACACGCTGTAACCCACAACTGAATACACCAAACAAAAAACAGCAAAAGAATTTTTTTTACTGCGAAATGTCACCTTTCCAACGAGCATAAATCTGAGATTGTTTGATCGATACTTTACGAGAAATCTATCAGTGCAGCCATCTACCGAAGAAATAATGGATTTCTTTTTCCCCAAACTAATATTAATCGAGAATTTGCCAGCTAAGAGTCGCGTCTACGGAGTCAATGCTTACGATTCAAATCTTAGTGCGGTACACTTTACTTTGCTCCTAGTGATGGTGAGTGCATACTCACTTCCCACATGGCTGCGGCCACCTTTAGGCAACTTTAAACGGTCTTAAGATTCAGTGAGGAAATGTGGATGACTAGGCCTTAGGAGTCTTTGCTTTTATAATTGAAAACATCTTTCAACTTAGTATTTGTGAGATAATTAAAAGTCACAATTTTAACATTTTATATCAGAACAAATTTAATTATTCAAAAATATAATTGGCGATCCAGCCCGGGGAAGAAATGCAACAGCTTCGTCCACTACCCTTACCAAAGAAATGTCCGATGGTACCGAGGTATATGTGGCCTTTGAAAGCGGCGCAGTTACTACTTCGGACATTGCAATCACTATAGAACTAACGATTACAATCAAACACCTTGTTAACAATTCATTAGCCTTTTTTCGGCAATAAGCAAAAAATATTTACTTGTGAAAGATGTGATCTAAAAAGGGTCGTCCAATGAGGACTCACACGCTCTCATTTAACAAAATACGCTATAACTTTTATATACTGGTTTCTCAAGAATATTAAATAGGATGCTAAACATTGTTCCACTTTCTACTTCCATTACCGCCTCACTTTTACTTCGTATAGACCTTGTGCACTTTACGGTCAATTTGAAAAAGTGAAGGCGGGATAGACTTTCCGCTTCATTTGTTACACGTGAAATTCGGCTTTTTTTATCTCCCTTTCCTTTTGATGGCCACTTACGTTCTCTATTTACACAGAATAAACCCTTCAATTGTACTATATGTGATGTCAGATGTAGAGGCCATATATATCTGAAGTTATTTTTGCTCTGATAAGTAATTGTAACACTAAAAAAGAACGCATCGCAAAAATACTCGCCCCAACAACGCAAATGTCGAGTTTTGTGCCAAATAAAGAATATTCCCGGAGAGCATACTCGCTTTGGCCAACAATAGCAGAGAAAATCGCATACTTAATGGAGATGAAAAGAAAGGGTCCATATTGGGAATACCTGGAGTAAAAATTCATAGATAGGTTCATATCATATCATACGAATCGATTGCGAAATTAAATCGCTTTGGCCCGAAGACGGAAGCAAAAAGTTGCGAGGCATTAAAGCCTGGTGAAACGGTCAATGCCAAACTAGTACCAAACTACTAACGACAATCGATTTCGACAGTTCGCTGTTCGAAAATAGCCCGAATATCAAAACAAGGACGACATCCCCCCATCCATCTACGTATAGGCAAAATCCATTCCCGATAAATTAAAAGCACTGAAGAGGGGAGTGCCAGTCCATGCAGCTTACTTACTAAACTTGGGCTTTTCCTTGCTACTACTTTGCCACATCGATAAGTCATGTAATTTTTAAGCGGAGCTGGGAGGTTGAAGGCAAATACGAATTTAACTAGCAACGACACCTACAATCTCGCTCAACAGAACTCTCTGTTCAAAAATTTGGTTAAGACAGTTGTAGACGGACGAATTTGAATTTGTTTAGCTTGTTGGAAAGGTATTAATATATCGACTCATTAGATGCTTACTAATTCTAACGGAGAAGACTCCCAAGTTCAGCCATGTCTTAATCCTAACTACTTAACAGAGCGTTATTAGATTGTTTACAGGGCTCTGTTAAGATAGCTGATACGTACCTTTGCTTGTTATATCCGACTTTATCTTCATTCCCGTAGCAGAGCTTCGCTTCTTGCTAAAATGTACGAAAGTGTCTCGACGATTGGTTCGCCTCGATCCACAAATTTTCAGATGAACGGAAAGAATACGTGAATGATTGCCGAAAGGCAATACTTGGAATGAAACACCTTACTACAATAATCATAACTTTCTCTATCAAAATTTTGGCATTTCATATGTACAGGGTTAGTACTTACTTTCAAGAAGCGAGGAAGCGTTCGTTCACCTCTTCCATTTTTTTATTAAAATTCTAAGATTAAAAGTCTTAAAGCACTAACATGCATCTAAGTCTTTCGGCTTTATTAAAAGCTCTACCGCACTTGAGATTTGAGAACCTATGACCATTGAATTGCTAGTCGAGACTCTTTCCTACTCGGCTCCTCAGGCGGATTTATTTATTTATTTTTTTTTTTTCTAGCTTATAATATAACCTAGTGACGGGTATTAAGACATTCGCCTTAAGCTGAATATTTTTCTTTTTTATGTTTGCTTTTGCTGCTACTTCCGTAACATTGATGCATTTATTTTCTATAACATTTCCATTACTATCACATGCAATGGAAAATATTAATGATTTCCGTATAATGCATAAATTCTTGAAGTTATCAATGTATTCTGTTTGAGTATATAAGGGACAATAAATGAATGGATTTGCATTTGAAAGTAGAACAGTTGAAATGTTTAAAGAACAGCAATTACTGCTACCTTTTCTAATAATTCTTTGTATAAATGATATTAAGGGAACAAAAAATGTTTCCATTAATTACGCGGATAACCCTGAAGAAAGCGGGCAGCATCGTGAAGGAGACATAGTTCAAGACGATCGCAATGGCATTTTATCTGCCAAATCCAAATGGCCAAAGCATAGAGTGCCGTATGTCCTGAAGGGCTCATTCTCCAAAAAGGAGCTTTCCATAATTGATCATGTCCTAAACGAATTTCATCAAAAGACTTGTATACGTTTTCAAAAGCGTAAGAATGAAAATGATTTTTTGATTATTGACAACAAATCCAACGGTTGTTGGTCAAGTGTAGGACGTTTGGGAGGCAGCCAAGAATTGAACTTAGAATCAATGAAATGCTTTAAAAATTATGGTACAACAATGCATGAACTAATGCATACATTAGGTTTCTATCATGAACAGAATCGCTATGATCGGGATGATTATGTGAAGGTTCTCTGGGAGAATATTAAAAAGAATATGAAAGTGAATTTTGAAAAATTAAAGCGTAATGCGGCTTCTGGTTACGGTGTCGCGTATGATTATGGCAGTACTATGCATTATAAGGCGACAAGTTTTTCAAAAAACGGTCAACCCACATTAAAAGCTTTGAAAATGAATGCAGATTTTAAGAAAATGGGACAACGTCAAGGTTTCTCCGCAAGCGATATAGACAAAATTAATAAAATGTATAAGTGTTAAAATATATTCACTTTTTATTTACGTATGCCTATGTTCTACAACGGCAGGTAATACATTAAAAATATGATCTTTGGTTAAAACAATAACTTTTCAATTCATTTAACATCACAAACATCACAACAAGCTAAGGTAATTCGTTGTAGTATATACAAAAGCAAAAAAAAAAAAATATATGAAAAAAAAAAATTAAAAAATATATAATTAAAAATGATTTCCTTTCTTTTTAGTGTTGCGTTAAATTTTTATTCTTTTCAAAGAATACATTACTCTGTATGGTCAGCTCATGACGTAGAGCTGAAAATCTTCGCAAAGACTGAGGATGTTGGTGCCTTTCATTATTTAAAACTTTAAAGAAAAAAAAAAAAAAAATTGGAAAAACGAGTTTTTTTTTCTTTTGCTTTGTTTTGTTAAACTTAACAAGAAATTTTTTTAAGTTCATATTAAAATTAGCCAGTGTTTGTATCAGTGTGGACGCGTCAGTGATTCCCGGGTGGGTGTGTTGGGTTTGCCGGCGTTATTCGGCTGTATATTCAAAGCGGGTATATTAACTCTTAAAATGCCACGACGTCGCTTACCTCCTAATTGGGTTTCTGGTTCTAAATTCATAAATACTTGGATATTCGAGGTAGAACCATGACCGGAACGATTATTGAGGAAATCTCGTATATGTTGTACAATCAAATCGATGGCGACTAAAACAAAAAGAGCAGAAAAAATAAAATATAATTTATTGTTTATACAACACAATGGTTAGATAAAGTTCTTAAAAAACTTTGAATTAAATAAAAAAAATGTATAAAAAACTTACCTTAAGTGCATGTCTGTTTTCTAAAAGCATTTAACCTAATGCGCATTATTAACTACAGATAACTTACATGTTTCCTTCCTTCCTTTAATTCCTTCATTCAAGGAAATGTATTTTTTTTAAGAGCAAACAATTTATTTTTTTTGTTTTTTGTTTTTTGTTTTTTTTAAGCAGTAACAGTATTACTTAATATGTATACACTCTCTCTGTTACAGCAAAATTGTTACGATCCTCTTTTTTTAATTGGGAATTTTTGTTGAGCATCAAAATTGCTTGCATTGTATCTAATATAAACTGCAAAAATTATTTAAAGTTTACATATTTGTAGGTTTTGTTGTTAATAACCACATATTTACGGAAAGCGTTAAGTGATTTATACAATCGTAAAACTACAACATTTTAACATTAACTACTTTCTCTTAAGACAATTGTTCAGACTTGTGGTAGTATATTCATTGTAATTGAGTTTTTTTCTCCTTTTTTTTGTCAATTTTCAATTTTAAAGCCAAATTAGAAATTGATAAGAAAAATAAATGCAAATTATTTTACTACAACAAACTTAGTTACGAAAATATTGTTCTCATTCAGGATGCAGTGTTTATTAACTTTTCAAAAAAAATTTTTTTTTTTTTTGTTTTCTCTTAAAGGTTATAAGCGCAAGCAATAATTGTAAAAAGGGATAATCAGCAGCATTCATCATGAGCTGAGATTTAAAATGATATGTGATCTTTTCTAAACTGCATCTTGAATACGGAGCCGATTGTTATACCCACCACCAAAGCATAAGGATACATTAATATACACATCCATTCGTAGCTCTTAAAAAAGCACAATATAATATGTATACTTTTGATCAAAACGGAACTGAAATTCGGCTCGGTCACAAAAATTGAGTTAGAAAAATGACAATTGACCTCAGTTTCAGCATAGAAATCTTGCCCGATGCCATGTCTCTCAGTCTTAGATTCATAAAATTGGAGATAAAAGCTTGAAAATTGTCTGCCGTATCATCCGGTCTGATGCCATGCCTATTAATGGGTCTATTTGTTGCACGAGTGATATAAAACATTTTGCGAATTCTCACTTGACTTGGCCATGTGCATCGTTGTCCTTCGTCATAAAAGTGGAGTATGAGAAAATTCATAAAGTAAACATGTTATATCTATATTTAGTAATAGAGAGTTAATCAAAAACCATCTCTAAATATTTTGCACGACTGTCTAGGAGTTGAGTGCAAATATAGTTAATTGACGCGATCAACCTTGCAAATTTTATATATAATATAAATTTGTGATGGTGGTGGATATTAAAACCTTTTTGTTTTTTTAATCGTTTCACTTAGTTTTAGAGTATTACTTAAAAAAGAAAAAAAAAATTAAAAATAAAATAAATGATTTTAAAGTGATATTAGAGTTAATTGAGAGTTCTGTTGCCAGGTGATTAAGTGATTTGATTTACATAATTGTCAATTCTGCAGTTGGCTGACTCTAACTAACAAAGTAAGCATATACATACACACGCACACCCATATACACACGCGCACACATACACACGTCTTGTGGAACAATACACAAGTATGTGAAACAAATACTTTAATGCTCCCTGATCATAGCGGAGGTGGTATTATTGGTTTTAGCGCTAGGTGATGTAGTAGTGGTAGTAGTAGTAGTAGTAGTAGTAGTGATACTGGTAGTGATGGTTGTGGTAGTACAAGTAGTGGCAGCGTTATTATGGTTGGCCGAAAAGGCGCCCGTGTTATTAGCACTGCAGCCACCAGGTCTAAGGATTTCCCCAATGTGATGTACAATGAGATCAATTGCAACTGTAAGAAATACACAAAAAGAGAACAGAACCAAGAAAACGAAAGAAAAACGAAAAAAAAGAAAGAAAATTGTGGAAAAATCAAGCAATCTAACAAATGGTTAAGTACGGATTGCTGCTACTACTACTTTGTAATAAAATCTTTTGAATGTTTATATTTCCTTTTTCTTGTGTATACATTTATAAAAATATATATGTATATAAATATATATATAAATATAAATATATATATGTGTATAAAGGTAAGAAAACAATTCTATTCGGCTTAGATACCGAATATCTAAATACCCTCCACCAGCTTCTTAAAAATATATAAAGCGAGAATACTTTCATTTCATGTAAAATACAGGCATTTCTCGTATAAAGCGGTTCGTGTCAAATAAGGTTTCGAAATAGTACGGCACAAAATTCGCGAACACTAGAACACGGTTTCGGTATAACGCGATTTCAAAAAAATTGAATATGTGTTCAACTGCATTTTTTTTCACTTGATATTTGGTTTGATTTTTATTCTATCGTTAACACTTCTTTGAGAAAAAAAAAAATGTATAATTTTTGATGAAAATTAATTTTCAAATTCAATTAAATTTCGTTATCGTTATTATTATTTTTTGAATATATTGATAATTTTCACATTCATCACCGAAGGATAAGTATAAAGTATAGAAATTCTTATTTAGCATCAAATTCTAAGCCGCATGTCCGTCCGTCTGTCTATGGTAGGCGCTCTCTTGCCGGCAAAAATGCACCAATCGGCTTGGAATTTGGCACAGAAATTGGAAGTTCCTGCTCGTAGGTTGTTACTGAAGTTGAGCTATAGCGACCAAAGAGCACAACCGTAATGCAACATAATCTGAGAACACCTTTGTTTTCAAACATAAAAAAAATTTGGTCTTGTGTTCGTTACTTCCAAGATGCAACAGATACAATAATAATAGTAGACATTTAATTTTTATAATTTCTAATTTCCGCAGCACATGAACAAAGTGGAAAAAATCACACGCGCTTACTCAATATTATAGAATATTAAGAGTTCATCTCATTTATCTAAATATTTGAAACACTCTCAAAGAAGCCTCAGAGACCATATAAAACCTACATATCGACGATGGTGATGGGTATATAATTATACTCTTACTTTTTATACATCACAATAAAATTGGATTTTATATTTCGTTCTTTTTTATAAAAACTTCAAGTTACCTTGCTTTTGTATTCATTTATACGTATGGATCGAAATTTCAACGATCATAAAATTTCACACCTTAAAAGATGATTTCGATACAAGATGGTACCTATTGCCTTGATTTATACTCCTTCAAAATCTCTTATAACACAAATCAGGTTTCAGTATAACATGGTACGCATTGTCTTAATTGATTCAGATTATATTATTCGTTTGGTGTTACACGGTTTCATCGATACTGTGCCGTATTAGACGAGGGACACCTGTGTATATTTTTACACGATTTGAGAGCCTTTTATATAACATATAATAAAAAAAAGGAACTACAAGCCATGTTTACCCTTATATCCCACATACAGCCAACTCTTTTTTTTTTACACGTTTTCGGAATAAAAAAAAATTTTTTTTATTCCTAATTTCAACTTCAACTTTTATATGTCGCATATACTTAGGGACTGAATTTCTGCTCTACACTGATTCTAATTTGTTTTTCGTAATAGATGGCTTGTGTTTTATAAATATTTAGAGCCTTTTCATCTTACACGATTTGTTAAAGCCGTGGGCACATGTACTCAAATTTACCATATGTCTTATGTATTTTTTTGCGCAGATTTTTAAGGAACGCATCTAGAGTTGGGTGTATATCCCCTGTAATGGAAGCCGAAAGTGTGATAGAATTTCACGCAGTTGTGATTTAATACCGACCAACCCTTTAAAGGTACAACGTGAAAACTTCAAAGATAGGAGACTATGACTCAGAAAAAAAGTTAAAAGTACTGATCTTTTATTTATTTTAGTACTTAAGATGGCAGAAGCGATAAGAAAACATTCTAATATAAATTTGATTTTTTTAGCCAAAGATATATATTAAAGACTCTGATACATCCAGACAGAAATGTTTAAGTCGTTTACTCTGCTCCTTGCGGAATTTTCGATGCGTATATCAGTGATTTAAAATTATGTGACAAATCTAATGTTCCTGCTGTTTGGTGGGTACAATTGAAATTAAAAATAAAATTTGAAGTTATGATGAACAATTCTACACATTACATATTGTAAGGAAAATTATGTACATATATAAATAATATATATATGCACATACACATATAAATATATATTTGCATATATATAGATATATATTGCATTTATATATATTATATCTTGTTAAAAAAAATATAATAATAAAACGAACAACAATAACAACACAACACAAAAAAGTGCAAAGAAAAAATTTCTAAACTAATAATATAGATAAATAATACAAACCTGTATTATCAGCACCCCGCGGTATTATAACATCGGCAAACTTTTTAGTCTAAAAATTTAAAAAGAAAGTATAAGTAAATTGTTGTTTTTTCATATATTACGTTATCTGTAAGCAAGACTTGCCGGTGAACAAAACTCTTCAAAAGCTGGCTTAACGAAAGTCATATACTGTGTTAAGACCGCATCTAAATCGCGGCCTCTTTCATTTATGTCGCGAGGCACTAAAGTTAAGAAAAAAATAGAAAAGAGAACAAATCATTAAATAAAAAACGCATAAAAATATTTCATTGTATACCAAACCTCTTCTAGCTAAGCGTGTATCTGAATCAGTATCAACAAAGAGTTTCATATGAAAAAGATCGCGTATCTTGGGAAAATAAAACACCAAAATACCCTCAAATAATACAACGTCAGCCGGATAAATTGTTAGTTTGTTCTCATAATCACTGCAATTGTAATAAACAATCAATTTATAATTCTTTATCAGTCTTATTTTATATTACAGTGAATTCGTTCTATAATCGTAGCTCGGTATTTCGACTTTATTGCCTTTTAGTACGGCTTGTAGTGTTTCGTACATAAGCTGTTCATCAAAGGCGTCTGGATGATCGAAATTGTATAAACCTTGGAAAGCTTTTGCTTTCTCCGTAGCCGTCAGTTCACGATAAAAACTATCCTGACTTATAGTTACGACTTGACGCTGTGTATGATCCATGTCTGTTTGTCCCAATTCTTTCATGATTTTCTTGCATACTGTAGATTTGCCGCTGGCTGTACCTCCTGCTACTCCTATTAAAAATGGTTTCTTAACTGCATCACCGTTCGTTACACTTAATGTATTTTCTGCGTCCATATTTTTATTTTTTAAAATTTGTTTAATACACTTGTTCCACTTTTATCTTAAGTATTTAAAGACTTTTTTCGATTTCCTTGCAATTAAACGCAATAATAGACGCGAAATATATGAAAAGTACACCAACAAAGAATAACTGAGGAAAAAAGCATCTGTTTTTCGACGTTGAATCAAGTTAAAACGAAAATGAGAATAAACACATAACAACATTTTGTTTGCAATGTAGAGTATTTTTTTGAGTAAAAACAGGGTTGTTAAAATATTCATAATTATAATAGAAAAATAGAATGCATAAAAATAAAGAGTAGGCACTCGTTACTTTTACTAGTTAAAGGAAAAGTTAATAATAATACCATAAAGATTGACAGCCTTATTCTATGCACTTTCACTGACAGATCACATACCATATGTGTCTGGTAAAGAGCTAAACAGCTGTTCTTGTTATATTTTTGCAAGGTGAATTCATCTTAAACTGTTCTGGGTGTTACATACATTTGAACTGTACCATAAGTGGCATATGAAGTACTTGATATGTGTGATATGTGAGGTATGAAAATGTATTATCACTAGAATTACCTAGTACGTCATTTTGATACGTTTTATTTTTCGATTTTCAAAAAAGTAGGTACAAGGCAGATAACGTTCCAACATTTTTTGGTAACTTATTTTCATATGAAAAACTTTCAAATATCTGCATTTAGGTTTAGTTTTCGAGATGCCTAATACATGTAGCTGATAGGAAACTAATCCAAATTGGAGTTGGGAAACTAATCTTTAAAACAAAAGTTCCTTAATCGTTTAAAAAACCAACGTTAAAAAATTATGATCTATCAACATGCCGTAGATAGAGAAGAAGCCCACAGAAAGACAAGTAAGCGATTTCTTTTTATTAAAAAAAATGAAAAAAAAATATTTTCACTTAGAATAGTAGCAACATTTTTGGACAGATTTCTTCTGGTATTTGAAAGAGAATTTTGAAAGGTTTGAGAAAGAAATACGTCGGAGAATTAACTTTTTTGAATTTAAAAACTTTCGAAAAATAAGAAACGTACTCTAATCAATAAAAAAACTCACGGCAATAGCATAATTAATCAGCTAAAAAATTGAAGCAAGGTGAAGAAAATGTCTATCGGAATAAATACTGAGAGAGGTCTCTTGAAAGGTATAACTATAAAGTCCGGCTAAAAAGCCCTGTAACAGGTGTTTTTACTTAAGTTAGTTAAGAATGCAACTTTACATTATATGGATTGTTAAGTTCGAGCACGAAAACGTGTCTGACTTTGAGAAGGTTTTTTTGACGTTTGACGGTTTTTCTTTAAATTGTGTAAATTCGAGCAGGAGAAAATTACTGAATAACATAAAGTTTATACCGAAATTAAAACACTACTCGAATTACATCCGCAAACAATGTTATATACTTAATTACTTGTGAAAAGACTGAGGACGATTTGAGAAATATTTAAGGTGTGAAATAAATTTAAAAAAAAAATTAGTGGCTTTAAAGAATAAATATGCTCAAACAAATGAATATAGGGGCAAGAAAACATGGGAGAAGGAAAACACTAGAAACATCAGAAAGTTAAACGTAATACGATGTCAAATATATATATATATATAATAACAAATAGGTTTATTTTGCTTAAATTAATTTACTAGTACGTGATTCAACGAAGTAACAGAAGACAAAGCGATACTGCATGTCATTTACCGCAACTGTAAAACTGAGAAGTGTCCAAGAGGTAAAATATAATAACCCTCCACCTCTCCCGAACTAGCTAGCTCAAGAAAGGCACGTACATGCGTCTACTCAGCCGCCGATTCTAATTAAGTGGCATCTCTAAATAAATTGTTAAGATCCGTTTCCGATTGTTCGTTTGATCACGCATCGCGTTTTTAAGGCGCGTTACACGAAGGTGCTGCCCAATGTGGGGCCCATTTCAAAAGGGGTTTTTATTGCTTTTACCACTCAATCCGGTAATATTATTAATAATTGTATAATTCTGTTATGCTATTTCATACCTATTTTATCACTAGCTAATTTGGTCATATGAATGTATATTTACTTTCGTATGAAAATTTTTGGATTCATTTACACACATATGTGTTATCTTTCATTTTGTGTAGAGCCCCATGAGTGCGAGAACTGAATAAACACTGCTTGGAATTGTTGATTTTTGGCATATTGTCATTGCTTATCTAGTCCCTTTTGTACAGTGCATAAGTGATTCGAAAATTTATTTTAGGATGTCTGACATTGTGTAGTTTTGACGTTGGCGAGTTCATTCGTAAATGGTTTTAGAAGTATGATTTCAAGCCATCCCCTATTTGCTATGAATCTTAGTTAATTTTAGTTAGTGCTCATTTGAGAAAAGAAACATAAATTTGGATGAACGTTACTTTCGAACTTACAGATAAACAATCCGAAAATCCTAAAAGTCCTCGTTCCTCTCAGTAGCATCATATTTTACGTTATTTAATTTTTTTTGGGTTTTCTTCGCAATTAACCTATTTCATTTTTTATTATATATAAAAATTTTTTTTTGGGTGTAAATTTATATATATGTATATTTGTTGGGAATTTATTAATAATGGTTTATATTGTTATTTAATTTTTTTTTTTTTTGGTTGATTTGAATTTCTTGTAAGATACACTTATATTACAAATGTGTATACCTAATATATATCACATATATAATAGAGTTACGGAAATGGAAAATTCAGTTCATTCCAACTAATTGATTTTCCCAGAAAATAAATTCCCTAGAGAGGGAAAAACCCAAGTGCACATTCGTGGCGCGTCATGCAGCTGCCGGCTGAGGAAAAGATTTGTGGAAAAGCGGAATAACGCATAAAAAATGAAGCCATGAACTTAGGTAATAGTAATATGCTTGCAAAAAAAAGACCATTTTTTCAGAGAGAGAGTCAGTTCAAAAACAATATCTGAGTTAAGAAGTCAAGAGCATTGCCAAAATAGATTGTAAATATTTCTACTCCTAAGGAAATTGATTGTAAATAAAAGAATCTTGATGTGAAAACGTGCAAGTGTATTTCTCTTAAAAAGAAAAACAATGATTTAGCGATATAAACAGTATTCAGGAAAGAATTTCGTAACAATATTATATTGTTAATCTATGGAATTAACACATACCGCGATATATTATACTTCAGATGATTCAGGTAAATTCGGTTGTGACATATAATTTTAATCTTTTTTAATTCAATACAAACTAATTCAATTTACATGTTCAATTTTAAATTAGAAATATGGTGACAGGACCAAGAGTTAGTTCCCAATCAGTCAGACTGATATTTGGAATTAATAATCTGAAACAAGTGAAAAACGAATATTCCGTCTTCACAATCAGAAATGCTTGAAAACAACGTACAAATTGCAATGATACAGTCTCGCGTTATTGATACTCTTAGATCGGAATATGAATACTGCTCAACGTCGGACAAATTCTGATCACTTCTCAGTTCCTGCTGTATCATGTCCGATATAGTCAAGACCGTCGGTTTATCACGTCAATTATGGGTTAAACCCACTTAAAATGTTCAATATTTTTTCCAGTTGGCAAAAATTGCTATATAAATCAAGGAATAAAATTTGGCTGTCTCAAATTTTTTTCTAAACTTTTTTAAAGCCTTTGCACAAATGTCATAGGAGAGTTTCTTTTGTATTTTTAATTTATCAATGTTACTGTCCTGTCAAGAATGTTTATTTTCTATCCTTTAAGTTGAGGAAATTTATTTCATTCGGTTTCGCAGATTTCAGGAATTTCACTTTTAAAAATATTTTTTCTCTTATTTCTGCCGACACTACCTACGTCCTTCATAACTTCCATCATTCTTTCTTCTCATCCTCTTTCAAAGCCACGAAACAAACCTCTAAAAGCTACCTCAAAATCTGTTATAGGTCAGTGCTTGAAATCAACAATCCATATAATGTAAAGTTGCATTCTTAATGAAAATTCTCAATTGAAACCACATGTTATATGGTTCACCATTAAATATCCTAAAACACCCTTTCCTATAATGACTTTTTAAAAAAAAGAATTACATTGGGAGCTGTCGAATAAGTAATGTGATCCGGACCACCTGCAATAGTGTTTGCCCTTGGACCAAAATGTCAAAATATCTGGAAAATTGTGATCTGCACGTTGAAGACAAGACTCCATATTCTCGGTACAATAAAAGATCTACCTCAAGCCTACATCCACAAAAACTTAATACACCCTTATACCGCAAATGGAATAAGTTATAATTGTATAACTTTGGAGAAATGGCTTTAGTGTAAAGCACAAAGAAAATGCACGCTCTTAAGGATGAAAATCGATATAAAGTAATGAATAAATATTAGGATTGGAAATCCTCAACACAAAGTGTTCTATGTTATAAAAAGAATAATATTTGCTATATCACGCCATAAACGAAATCTACTATCCATGAATATTAATAAAATGAAAGTCAAGCGGGCAGCCGAGCTCGAAAGCAAACTAGGAGGAGCTGTATGCGTCCGCCGTATTCAACTAATGTACAAAAAGAAGAAGTGCACCAATTTATAACAAGTAATAATAAGAACAGAAACAACTAAGAAAATTATATTCGGTCGTGACCGAATCTTTTACACCATTTGGTTGCGTCTCGGTTTATTTTCAATTTATAAACAACCATTTGGTTGCGACCCGGTTTATTTTCAATTTACAAACACAACCATTTGGTTGCGCCCCGGTTTATTTCTCTTCATTTATTAGTCAATTTCTCATCTTTTTTTTCATTGATTTATCAATTTTATTCTTCATTATCAATATTACAATACTGTACTAACTAATTATTTTGATAACAATTATGTACGTTATTCTAAAGAGACAAAAAGAGTAAAAGAACTACGTTTTCATGCTATCCAGTTTGGAGTGGAGGAAGATGTCTTTTTTTATTTTCAAAGTAAAAGTTTTTGCCGCATAGTTTTTGGCGTTATAGGCGTGTCCTTTGATAAGTTTAGGTCACTGTCAAATTCTTTTCAAAATTTGTAGGCGATATTAGTTTTCGCAAATATGACGACAGATGCACAGACGGACATACCGGGGTGAATTTCAAATTTGAAACCGACCAACGACTTATACACTCTACGGGGCCTTCGAAGCTTCCTTCTGAGCGTTGCAAACTTTTCCACAAACTCATCCTTTGGTGACGGGTATAAAAAGGAGTTTCTTTAATACCAGTTTCTCATTACGTTATTGGTAATGCTTTTCGTAAGTATTTGAAATGACCCGTGTAAAGCCTACTCTTATTCTTTGCCTTTGCTAAGTCAAAATGAGTACTTCCGTCGAAACTTTTCGACTGCTAATTCCGATTTATCCGCAAACTACCCATATCCCATAGCTAACATGGTTTCAATTCCTAATATGGTTATTTCGGAAGATGACGTTTTTAAAAAGTTGAGTTCTCTAAAATATTGTTGTGCACCTGGACCTGATGGAATTCCATCATGTGTACTTAAATCTTGCGCTGTCGAGTTATGTGGTGTGAGCTCAAAGATTTTTAACCTTTCCTTGAATTTAGGTGTGTTCCCTTTGTGTTAGCAGAGTATGTTCCTTATTCCTAACCATAAAAGTGGAAGTAGACAATTTGTTGAAAACTACAGAGGCATAGTCAAGTTGAGTGTCTTGCCTAAGTTGTTCGAGCGAATTGTGACTCAGCATTTGGCCTTTGCCATTAATTCGTATATTTCTCCGCACTAGCATGGCTTTCGAAAAGCGTGCTCTACGGTCACCAATTTGTTAAAGTTTACTTGTCATGTTTTCAAGGCTTTTTCTAGTGGCTCTCGCACAGATGTAATATACACTGATTTAAGCAAAACGTTTGATTTGGTTAATCATAACTTACTTATCTTTAAACTCCACACAGATCCCTCAGGTTTCTGTTTAACTTCATCACCTCGGATGAATTTCTCGTGACGTCTGGCGTACCTCAAGGAAGTCATTTAGGTCCCATTTTATTTAGTTTATACATTAATGATCTCCCATCGGTGGTTAATTCCAGCCAGATCTTAATGTATGCTGATGATTTGAAGCTGTTTTCTTCCTTCTCTGTTGAATCGCAATCACATCAGCTTCAAGGTGATTTGGAATTTGGGTTGCGATCCAATTGCCTCTCTTCCTCCGTATGAAAATAGGTTGCTTCTGTTGTCCTTGCCGCCTCTCGAAAAACGTAGATTTGTTCTTGGCGTTTCCTTCATAATCAAAGTAATAAATTATGCTATTGACTCGCCTGCATTACTTGGTGAAATAAGCTTTAATGTCCCCATCCGCTTCTCTAGGCACTTTACCTTGATTAAGCTTAGTCAATGTAAATATAATTACGAGCTATTTCACCCGCTTAGAGGTGTTTGCAAGAATCTAAATGATGTCTATCACTTATTCTCATTATCGGACTCTTTAAAGTCCATTAAAGCAACATTGCTTTAATTTACCTATGTCGTTCTTAGCTAGCTAGCTTTTGCCCTTAAAAAGTCATTATGAGTCGAAAATTAATAGTTCTTAATAGTTCGCGATGGCTTAAGTGTTCAATCGCAATTTGATCCTGTAACGTTTGTGGGTGTGGCTCTATGCTAGTTGTGTACATTCTTTTTTTCTTTTTTTTCCTTCTTATTTGTTTTATTGTACTTATACTAAGTTTTAATATTAATTAATTTAAGATTTACTTTAAGAGTCAATTGACCTCGACTGTCAAAATGCTTAGCTTCTTGTATAAGTGGAATAAATAAATAAATAAATACGACAATGTAAACCTGTCAGAACCACACTAATTCCTTCCACAAACCTGTCATAACCACACTAACACCCTCTACAAATCTGGCATAATCACACTAATACCTTCCATAAACCTGCCATAATTACTTTAATAAATTCCACAAACCTTTCATAACCACACTAACACCCTCTACAAACCTGGCATAACCAGACTAATACCTTCCACAAATCTGTCGACACCACACTAATTGAGTTTTGCAACGGCGCTGCTTTGAATATGACACGCAAAATAAATGAAAAAAGCTTCTATCTTCATAAGATTTTTTACAAAATGAACAGGAATTTGCAAACTTTAAAATGCACCTAAAAAATCAAATATATTTTATCGATTCTTTTTAAATAATTTCACCGCATATTTACATTTTTCTTATTTGGCTTTTATCCTAATTATTCGTTTGCAATTTTTTTTACAAATTTACTTAACTGCGAGAATAAGTAAACATGTTATCATATATAATTTATAACGTTTTCTTTCCTTCAATATATTTACGCTGTATTAAGATTTTCGTAGATATAATCTTCTTGCAAAATTAAAGATGCTGTTATTGCGCCGCCTCGTCCGTGTTCATCATTTGCTTCAACGAGTTCATACTTGTACTTAGGGTTTAATATGCTGTCAATTTTACTTCTTATCATATTATGATATATTGGCCGAGTGTTACATACTTCGCCGTCAAGACCTATTTTAATGTCGGGCTCATCGATTTGCTCAATCAACGCAACTATTGCCGCCGCAACCAAGCTCGCTGAACGCATGACTATTTTTTCCATTATTTGGTGGATTCGGGCACAATCAGTTTCACTTGGCAAATTTATACCAAGTTTATCTAACACTAACGCCATATAGTGGAACCGATCAGACTCTACGAGTGTTCCTTGTATATTAGCAAATTTCAACGCGTCTTGTCTATTTAATTGAACGTGGCTTTCACCCCCAAAAAGTATATTCTCACTGATACATTTGATGATTACGCTACGTGATAATTCGGACATATACCATGCTGATGCCATCTTTTCAAAAATATTTTGACCTTTGGTAGGAGAGATTTTTTCCAATGCTTCATCGAATTCGGTAGCTAAGAACTCCAATTGACCGCTACTACCAAACTCTGCTATGTCGGTATTAACGAACATTTCCGGTTTTGGTCTATGTGTCACAGATTCAATATTCGACACTTTCTCCCAGTATCCAGCATTTGTTGCTGTACCGACAATAAAGGATATTCTAACATTTTTATGCCTCCAGGCCGCCGACATGAATGCACTGGTTACATCATTTATTATTGCCGTCAATTCAAATTTTATATTAGGAAGACGTCTCATTGATTCTCTCATCATTTGGCCTACATCTTTATTTTCTATACCCGCTATTTTCAAGTTTTTTGGGAATTTCAATAAAATTGCACCAACGAAATTTATTTGCAATAGCGGATAAGGTAATATCAACGTCAACGGCAATGGCTCGCGTTCCAATTGCAAATTTTTAACGTGTTTATGCAGTTTTTCAACAATAAAATCGAATAATTCAACGCCCTGATTAATACTTTCCGGTATATCAAAACTTTCCTCCTCTAAGCGATAATCATTTTCGCCTTTTAAGTGAAAAAACAACACATGAACTTTGACGGAATATATCGTTGTTACTAAAAACATGCCGTGCTCGCAGCCAGATGGATACGTTTGAATATATGTGGGGTAACATTTCGTGTTAGCGGTGCTGTGAGTATCCGCGTTAAGGCCCAATTTTAATTCTTTGAGTATCAGATCTTTGATTTTAAACATCTCTTCTTTCGTTATTTCGAAAGGAGTCAAAATTTCGTTTAATCGCGTCTCCTCTTCGCTAGCAGACATTTTTAAGAAGAGCGGTAAAAAATAAAAATGAATACAGAAAATTTTCAAAATAATATTTCAATCTTGACATATGTACTAAAAACTGTAATAATAGAGTTAACTGTCTATATACGTAGTTAAGATTGGTGAAAGGAAGTTTTTCAAACAACAGGACTTGTTGCATGTTATTGTAGTGAGTAGAATTAAAACACATCGGATAAGAAAACGTGTGAACGACTGCGACGACGAAACTGTCGATATAAACTACAACGCAAAATCTACTGTGCTATCGCTTTATGTTACTCCTTCACATTTTCCCAACAAGAACTTTCCAATTTGTTCTCCACACTTTCATCACCATTAACTTTCAGTGGAGACTTCAATAGTTGGAAAATAAGTTGTGATTTTTGAAAGCAATAATTCTTGTGGTATCGTGTCGGAAAACTCAATGCAATCTTTGCGCTTTAAATGACGGAACGCCAACACACTTGTCAATCTGACTTAGCATGTTGCTCTCCACCACTACTTCTTCATAAGAGTGAGCACTTTTGAATCGCTATCGCTGCAAAACTCTCACACAAAACAAAAAGAACTTCGTCTGGGCAAATCTGATTGGATTAACTTCCCCAAGGTAGCCAAGAAGGCTCTATAAAAGTAAAGTTGCTATTGTGAGTAAAGCTATTCGCAGCGTTGTACATTCCTTCATACTTCGTATTTTAGTTTAACTGCCCTTCCCTGCTGGACCCGCAATCTAACCTTGTTGAAGAAAAATAAGGTGAAGATATGTCACCTTTTCAGAAGAAGTCCAGATCATAGATATCTCCTATTACAGAAAAACGCTACGTTCAATTTTGAAAAGAACTAAGGAAATAAAAATCAGCTCTGAATAAGATTTAAAAGCAATTCATGGCAAGCCTCCAATGAGAATTAATAAAATAGGGAACACTTTGTACTTCAGTGATATTACTGCTATCCGTACTCCAAATGGAAGACTAAATGAGGCAATCGGGATATCTAGCTACATCAGTGAAGTGAGATCTGTACACTCTTTCGACTACTACTTCTGCCGAAACCTCATTGAAAATAACGGAAATCCAGTTACTTTCTACGATACTCATCTTCTTGACAAAGCTTAAGAACTGTCTTACCAAAGTAAAAGGAAAAACACTTTATTTGGATTGCATTTCATATCAATGATCAAAGCACTGTCAGATACAAGTAAGTTTGTCTGTACAACACAATCGGTTCTATCGGTCATGTTTTCTGTTGCATCAGACTACCGTCCAATTTCTCTGTTATCGTCCCTCTCAAAAGAATTGGAAGAAATTACTGGTTCGAGATTATCTTGGGTTTTTGAATCTAAAACCCTAATTACAAAGTCTCAAGTTGGTTTTAAGCCAGCCAGAAGCTATATTGGTACTCGAATACACCTTGTTTATTTCCCACTGAAACCCGTTTCTGAGAAAAGTCATGTAACAATTCTTTCAAAATCTTTTTCTCTGGTAAGTGGAATGGAATAACTAAGAATCTTTGCGGAATTCCAAAAGCCGAACGACAAATATAAATATCGTGGGAACTGGACTAATTCCTCAGAGGCAAAAATATCTAAAAATTTGACAATTGTAGAGAACGCCTATATGATGCGGAAAGTTGGTTTAGGGAGGGAAATAATTTGGCAGCCCGAAATGTGCAAACACCTAACGTTTTGGGGCTCAAGTTTTAAGTACCTTTGGAAGCTACGCTGTCTTCAATTAAATAATCCCTCGTAAACTAGGGCGAACCGCTGCATTGGATGGGAAAGATTGGTTCACGTAAACGCCGTTGCTTATCTTAGCAAAATGCTTGTCTTACGCAAAATCGACTATGATTTTATTATATGTGGCAACGCGGGCAAATGAAACATAAATATTCTGAAATCGGTTTATCACTAAATGATCAGAGCCAGCACATATCCTTTCTGAACGAAATACAGTAACAACATCATTTCCGCGACCGGTCTTCCAACATTAGCAAATAGAGTCTATAAGTTAAAATTCAAAAATCATGTCGAAACTCCTCAATTGTAGAAATTCAATATTCCACGAAAATGTTAAAAAAGCTATTATTATCAAAAAAAAAAAAAAAAAAAAAAAAACAATCCGCAATTAACTCCTGTATGTATTTTGCAAAAAAAATTAGAATTTTTCTAAAAGAAAATCTAGATTTAAGCTGCCGTGGGTTTTAAAAGGCAATCATTTTGATATATCACCCTCAACATATAAAAAAGAATGTACGCCAAATCTTATTCTCATAGAACTAATCGCAGAGAAAACTCCCTTCTTAGAAAGTAATAATTGACATCCACTTTCTGCAGACGGTCCTAAGAGTAACAGCCTGATCGCTGGCCATGTAGTAGTACGTGTCACAGGGCGAACACATCCTGCACGAAAGCGCGTCAACATTTACAACTGAAGCCATAGTTAGCCTTCAGGTCACAAAACTTGCTCACAAAATTAAACTTAGGACTGTTATCGTCATAGATAGTTTCTTGGTCTCATGAAAGCCATCCGCAACCCCTCAAATTCCAACTCGAACACAATTGCTATAGAAAGGAAAACATTAAAACAAAACAAAAGTATTATGTTTTCGTAGGAAATTGAAACCTAACGCTTGTCTGAATGACATCGGCGAAAGTGTTACACTTTTGTACGTTACGCATGCGCTTAAAAAAATTTCGAATTATTTTCACTGATCTCAACACTAAGATATCGGACAACACAGCCATTTTCTGACTTGATCATAATCTCATGGTTTATTATTATTATTATTATTATTAATTTAGCCAGAGAAAGAATTCTAAGTTTAAAGTCTTAAACCACTAGCATCTAAAGGCTTTCGGCTTCATTAAAAACTCTACCGCACTTGAGTTTTGAATCCACGACGACTGAGTTGCTGGTCGAGACTCTTGCCTATTCGGCCACTTAGGCGGATAATCTCAGTTTAAACACGGTTAAATATATTACAAAAGGCAATGTCGCCTCCCCTCTCTGCACAAGTTCTCTCATGACTTACAACCAATTTCAGGGAACTTGTTATCAACATAAGCGAGATAATTGAAATAAGTTTTAATTATCCACCGTTTTGCAAACTTCAATTTATTAAGACGCGCCAGGCATTGCTTACTTAGTGTAGGGTAATTAACATGAAGATGTAAATTAGACTGGTCATTTGTCCTCAAAAAATAATATACTTAGCATATGCGCCTTTTTCATATGCTGGTTACTGGACATTTTGATTTTGACTCTGAACTTCAAGCACACAATAAATTTCGAGCCATCATAAATTCGTCACTTCTCCTAAGAAACCACACAACTTACGTTCTGCTACGATTTTAGGGAAACATGCATAATCCGTTGTCACAATCGCAGCGCAGTGTGTGTTGCACTGTTTAGATACTGCATGAGATCTCATCATTCTAAATTTACTTCCATCCAATGTTGTGTTCGGACTACGTAGCTTATCCAGAATTTCCCCAATGTCATAGTTATTTACATAAGAGAATGAGAAACATTATCGTTAAAGAAACTATGTTCTATCCTCTTCTCCACTCAATGAGAACAGTGGATGCATTCACATAGATCCATACGCAGTCGCACATATGCTATTGTTAATATTAAAGTTTGAACAGTTACTACCAACTCTAAAATTAAGAAAACAAAAAAATCCTCGAGCAGAGACGAAAAATAATATACCTATTGTTACAGAAACCTCAAATCCACTTCATTCCAAATAATTAATTTTCCCGAAAAATAAATTCCCTAGAGAGGGAAAATCCAAGATTAGCGGAAAAACAGGTTAACGGATTAAAATTGAAGCCTTGAACTTAGGTAGTAGTGATATGCTTGTAACAATGTTTATGAATAGATTATTTGCGGAGGGTAGAGTCAGTCGAACAAGAACTTCGAGTCGAAAAAGAATATTAGAGTTGAAAAGTCGAGAGTATTGCCAAAGTAAGATGTAAATAATGCTACTCTTAAAGAATTTGATTATAAATAAAGAATCATGAAGCGAAAACGTGCAAATATATTTCCCTTAAAAAGACCATCCACAAGCTAGTGACACGAACCATATCCGAGAAAAGCGAATTTCGTAATAACATAAAAATAATATATTAGTTTGGGGAAAAAGAAATCCATTATTTTTTCGGTAGATGGTTGCACTGATAGATTTCTCGTAAAGTATCGATCAAACAATCTCAGATTTATGCTCGTTGGAAAGGTGACATTTCGCAGTAAAAAAAATTCTTTTGCTGTTTTTTGTTTGGTGCATTCAGTTGTGAGTTACAGCGTGTTAAAAATGGAAGTGAACAAAGAGAAAATTCGGTACATTTTACAGTTTTTCTTTGACAAAGGCGAAAATGCAAGCCAGGCGGCTAAAATTGTGAATGGTGTTTATGGTTCCGATACTGTAACAGCCAATTATGTGCAATTTTGGTTTCGTAGATTCCGTTCAGGAATTTTTGACGTTAAAGATGCACCTCGCACAGGTAGGCCGGTCGTCGAAAATGTCGATAAATTCGGAGAAATGATCGAAGTTGACCGGCATGTTAGCAGTCGTAACATCGCCCAGGAGCTAAAAATCGACTATAAAACAGTTTTAAACCATTTACACAAAGCTGGATTCAAAAAGAAGCTCGATGTTTGGGTGCCACACCAATTAACAGAAAAAAACATGATGGATCGAATTTCTGCGAAACCTGGGCCAAACGGAATGAGATAGACCCATTTCTTAAACGGATGGTGACTGAAGATGAGAAATGGATCACATACGATAACCCTGTGCGAAAACGATCGTGGTCAAAGAGCGGTGAAGCACCTCAAACGGTTAGGAAGGTTTTGCTATGCATTTGGTGGGACTGGAAGGGGATTATTTATTATGAGTTGCTTTCATATGGCCAAACGCTAAATTCTGATATCTACTGTCAACAACTGGACCGTTTGAAGACAGCGATTGACCAGAAACGGCCAGAATTGGCCAACAGGAAAGGTGTCGTGTTCCACCAGGACAACGCTAAGCCACACACATCTACAGTGACTCGCCAGAAACTTCGGGAGCTTGGTTGGGAAGTTTTAATGCATCCGCCATACAGTCCGGATTTGGCACCAAGCGATTATCATCTTTTTCTTGCATTGCAAAATTTCTTTAATGATAAAAAATTGGAATCTAGGGAGGCTTGTGAAAATCGACTACTAGAGTTTTTTGAAAATAGAGACCAGGACTTCTATGAGAGAGGCAATTTGAAGTTACCTTTAAAATGGCAACAAATCATACAACAAAACGGTGCATATTTGACCTAAATCGGACAATCCGAAGCATGTTAAATAAAGTCCTGAAGTTCATATAAAAATAATGGATTTCTTTTTCCCCAAACTATAATAATAATATATATATAGTAATATATTATATATATATATACATTATTATTAATTTGGCCAGAGCAATAAATTCTAAGACTAAACTCTTAATGCACTGGCATCTAAGGCTGTCGGCTTTTATTAAAAACTCAACCGCACTTGAGATTTGGACCCACGACCATTGAGTTGATAGTAATAAAATATATGTAGTAATATATATAAATAAAATATATATGTAGTAATATAAATATCTATAGTAATATATACATATATATATATTACTACACATATATATACGTTGTTTATAAAAGGACATATAACATCTTCTGATCAAGAAATATAAAATAATCGAATCTATATCATAATATTTCTGAATGAAGTTGTGAAATAAATATAAAAAACACACCAAAGGTTTTTAAGTGCTTTTCTTTTTTGATTAATGGATAACGTTGTGTATTGTATCTTTATTGTTAATAAGCACGAAGTTTCTGAATTTCAAAATGTGTAACTGTGAAAAGAACGGAATTAAAATTCATAATCTATTTGTTGAACTCCTTTACTTAGAAATTCACGGTTTTGCGCAATAATGTTACCGGAAAAACGTAGATCTATTTACAAAAGATGTATGCTATTTATGGGTTTCCTTTCTTGGCAAATATTGTTGCGGCTAGTAAAGCTGCCCCAACTCCAGGGCCATATTCAGCCAACTTAAGGCAAAAGATATATTCGGGACGGGCAAGTTTTCTCAGTTTCTTTCGTAGACGTTCAGCGTATGTGGGGTACTTCCGATAAACATTGCCATCAGCACCAATAATCACAAATGGATCGCCTATGTGATCAAGTAAAGCAGCCAAGATTGCTGCGAGCAGATAAGCCGACCGATTCGATACCAAACTGCATATGTAACGCAAATGTTCGCAATCTTCATCAGAGGGCCGCCTGTAGCCCATTATTTCAAAAATTTGCCGAATAATTGAATCATTGCCGGGCTCTTCAGCTTCAATTGTTGACATAAGTTTTATGTTAAACGACATTGGGGTACGTATCTGATCAGAATGACTTCCCCTTAACATTGCGCCAGCATCAACGCATTCCAACATTATGAGACGAACAATTTCTCCCAGATACTTGGTGGAAGTCATTTTCTCATATATTTGCTGGCCAGCATTGACAGAGTTATTATCCAATGTAAAGTCGATTGGGGTGCGCACAAAATCCAGTAATCCGTCACTACCAAAGTTATCACATTCACAATTAATAATCATAGTAGGACTAGCCTTCACGCCACCTTTGAATTGGTCAATATGCTTAGTTTTTTCCAGGTAGCAGACGCTGATGGCTGTGTCAACAATAAGGCCAACTTTAGCCTCTCGATATTGCCAAGCACAAGAGATTAGTGTACTAGTCGTCGCGTTTAAAATGACGATGTTAGGTATATGAATATCGCCTCGTCGTTTTATTGCTTGTTGCAATAAGCCAACGACATCGTGGCCGACTACACCCGAACAACTAAACCTTTCAGCCAATGAGAGAAGGACACCCCTACTCAATTTATTTTGCTTTAGTGGGAACGAAAAAGTGAAACCTAAACTGAGCTCATCTTTTTGCAGTTCATATTTGTAGATGAATGCGGATAAGCATTTCGCAAGAAAATCGAAGAAATCGTCTCCAGGGCCGGTCAAAAGCGTCTCGGGTAACTCATAATTCGCTCCTTCAATCTGAAAATCTTCCTGGCTGTGTAGATTTATGAGTAAAATGCGTAATGTCGTGCCATCTAGATCCAAACCCATAAAGTTTCCACGTTCACAGCCACTTGGCAATTTTTCCACAAAAGTCATTAAAAACTTAACAAAGGCGTTTTTAAGGGTATACTTGCATAACCCTCTGTCAATTTCATCTAAGAAAATGTTTCGAATTTGTCGGTATGTATCATCGCTTAGGATAAACGGCTCACAAATTTTCTCCACAATGGCATGATTGGTTAAAGGCTCACTATCCCTAATGTTCTCTTCACTCATTTTTAATAACTAAAAAATTTGCGGAATTAACAAATTTTGTAAGAAAATTTTTTTTGTATTTTATATGTGACAGACGAAATAAGAGTAGAACGAAAATATTAAAAAAAATAGAAAGAAAGGAGGTTCCGTTGTGCAGATTGACTCGACTAAGATAAGAATGGCTTTTATGTTTACTTAGAAAAGTTCTGCAAAATTGTTGAAGAAGAAATTATTTCTCGTTTTTGCAAATAAAAAAAGTGAACTCTCAGCGGTAACAGCGGCTTATGCAAGCCAATGTTCAGATCGTCAAAGTAAAAATTATATTCTTATTGATATATTTAATGATTACTCTTTGTATTAGTTCGAACATGTCCGATGCCGATGCAATTCTTTCGAACACATTTTGGTCTTTGTCGGTAGCTAAGAACTAAATATATATATATGTATTGTTATTACAAAGATTAAGGCTGAGTTTCAATTCTTTGATTATTAAACCTGTAATTTTAAAAGTCATTCCCCTTTATTTCGAAATAAGTCAAAATTCCGCCTAATCGCAAATTTTTAAGCTTTTTCGAGACCATTGCTTTCGGGTGTTTCTGATATATGTAAGTGACTTGAATGAAATGCATTTGGAATTACACAATTATTGACAACAACAATCATGATTGCATAAAGCAGACCACGAAGGAAAGGTTTCAAACCTATGGCAAGCGTAAAATTGATTCACATCAAATAGGAAAACGAATAAACGCCTGCTTTCCAGATAATATTGAACAGCACTGTTTATTGGCCAAGAATGTAGATTTAGCTTTTAGCTTTAGCTTTAGCTAAGGAGGTTTCTGCCGTTATCAAACTTTATAGAAGAATTTGCAAAATTTGTCATTGAAGAAGCCATGTTCTAAAGCGTTCTGAACTCCAAACTAAGCTCGTCTCCAATCATTGCGAATATTGAATTCATTTATATCGACTGTATGCAATCAAACCAAATTTTAACGCGGAATACCGAAAAATCTTGCTTTTTCATCTCATTACATCATCGCAGTGTCATCCATGGAATGGAAATGCCTATCGTTGTGTCTGTTATGAGTAATGATCAAAGAACTTTTTTTTGTCCCATTTTCAATAGCAACCAGCGTAATTTCTCACGCTTTCACTAAATTTGAAACCGCTGTGCTACTTTTGCAGAGGAGTACGTTTTCCTTTCATATTCCGCAGACGGACAAACGCACATAATCCCAAAATTCGTCGATCAATCCCAAATTTCCCCAAAAATATGTGTAATTCATAGAATGAACATCATGCCCATCCTTTGGTGGTCGTTATCAAGATACAAAAATCTACTTATGTTTCTCATTCATAAACAAAGAATTTCTAAACTTCAATATCTATTTAAATTGCTTAAAAAAGCTATAGTTGAAATTTATAATTTATTCATTGCAGTCGAATACTTGGAAAGTATATGTATATAAAGATTTTCTTTAGTAATATTACTTGTAAACGAACCTCACGGTAGGTCTGTTTGCAAAAGATATTCGAGCCAATTATGGGCTTCTTTTCTTGGAAAATACTGTCGCGGCTAATAAAGCTGCTCCACGTCCGGAGCCATCTTCTGTCACCTTCAGACAAAACTGATATTCTGGGCGAGCAAGCTCTTTTAGTTTCTTTCGTAGGCGTTCAGGATAATTAGGATACATTCGATACACAGTGCCATCAACACCTATAACCACAAAAGGATCACCTACTCGGTTAACTAAAGTAGCAAGAGTTGCTGCGGCCATGTTGGCTGACCGTGTTGACACCACATTGCATATGTAACGCAAGTGCTCACAATCCTCATCGGAGGGTCGCTTGTAGCCCATTATTTCAAAAATTTGCCGGGTAGCTGAATCATTGCCAGGTTCTCCAGCTTCAATTTCGGACATGTGCTTTATGTCTAGTGACATTGGGGTACTTATCTCCTCAGAATGAACCCCGTTCAGCATGGCTCCAGCATTAATACACTCCAAGATTATGAGACGAACAATTTCTCCCAAATACATACCGGAAATCATTTTCTCATATATTTGCTGGCCAGCATTGACAGAGTTATTATCCAATATAAGGTCGATTGGGGTGCGCACAAAATCCAGTGATCCATCACTACCAAAGTTACCAGATTCACAGTTAATAATCATAGTAGGACTAGCGTTAACGCCACCGTTGAATAGTTCAATATATTTAGTCTTTTCCAGGTAGCATGTATTGGTGCCGGTGCCAATTATAAGAGCAATTTTAGTTTCGCGGTAATCCCAAGCGCAAGAGATTAGTGTACCGGTCGTGTCATTTAAAATAACGATATTATTAATGTGAATATCGTCTCGTCGATTTATTGCTTCTTTAAATAAGTCAACAACATCATGGTTCACTACACCCGAGCAACTAAAGGCTTTAGTCCAAGTGACGAGGACACCTTTATTCAATTCGGTCTGCTTTAATGGGAATGCGAAAGTGAAACCTAAATTGAGCTCCTCCTTTTGCAGGTCTTGTTTGTGGATGAATGTGGATAAGCATTCTGCAAGAAAATCGAACAAATCGCGTCCAGGGCCAGTCATTAGCGATTCCGTCAATTCATAACTTGCTGTTTCAATCTTCAAATTCTCCCCGCCATCTAGATTTAGGAGTAAGATGCGAAAGTTTGTTCCGCCTACATCCAAGGCCAAGAATTTGCCACGTTCGCAACCATTTGGCAGTTTTTCCACAAAAGTCAACAAACACTTAACAGAGGCACTTTCATGGGTGTATTTGCACAAGCCTTTTTTAATTTCATTCAGAAAAACATCTCTAATTTGGCGGTAGACTTCATCGCCCACGATAAAAGGCTTACATATATCCTCCACAACAGAGCGATTTACTTGAGAACCTTTATCTTTGGTATCCTCTTCAGTCATTTTCAATTGTTGAAAAATTTGTGAAAGAAAAATTTTGTAATAAAATTTAAAATTTATGTTTTCTATGTGACAGAAAGAAAAGCTGAAGCTTTTAGACAACCAACGACGAAATGTTTCTTTTTTTTTTTAAAGCGAATCGATTAACGTTACTTTTCGAACATGAACATTGTCGTAAATTAATTAATTCGAATATTTTTTTTTTTTTGAAACTGTCGCACTCTTCATTAAATAATAAAATCGTTCAAAGCATGGTGGCAGTGTAAAACGGTAGTGTATTGATGTATTGGCTGTACTATATACTCATTGTTTTTCGTTTTTTAAAGCAAATGATGACTTGGAAAATTTACAAAACCATGATCACTGTTGTACACGCATCCAAATAAAGAAAGTTTAAAAAGAAATCTTAGTAAAAGCTCTAAATAATTAGTTAATTAATAAAACAGGTGAAACACTATAATGGCACACGGTGCACACCACTGCACACTCTACACCTCCCTATGATTATGAAGATAATGGCTTTTCAAAATAACACGTTACAAGGGATATGCTCCAAAAAGTGGTTAGGTCCGAAACATTTCCATGAGCTTTAAACGCTGGGCCAAAATGCTTCAAATTTCATCAAAATGTCTCAAGAAGTGTGAGCTACCGCTTGAACATACAAAAATAAGATAGATAAACGCGCAGACAGGCCCATATCGATTTAGGAAGTAATTCAGAAAGTAAAAGATGAGAGACCCGTCTTTTCAAGTCATATTGTGTATTGCGTACATCCTTACAAATTCGACATATCCTTACACCACAAGTGGCGTAGGGCGTGTAAATAATTTGTTAACTATTTCCACGATTCTCATGAAAGACTGAGATGAACATAAAGAGGATTATGGTATACTTACGGCGTGCTTGGAGTTTTGAGGACTTTTATGATTTAAGTATGAATTTTAAGAATTTTTTATTAGTTAGGATGTCATCTACACTAGTTACTATATCTTAGTCAAAATAAACAATAAAAGTGTTTACAGTTTGGGAATGCAAACTTTCTAAACTTTAAGCGTTGTGCCGTTTAATATGAACTTACACTGAAGAGAAAAGCGTGAAGAAGTAAATTTTAAATGATACCCCAATAGTGTAATAATGGGGCTTTACATAGGCAATAACAACAAAAGACACTAGTGAAAATCCAAAATCGATACGTAAGCGTTAAAATCTTCTTGTCGAAGTGACAATTACATGAGACTAATTAGTTGAATACAGAAATGTTGTCTGGAATGGTGACCGTAGTAAGCGATTATATTAGAAGAGCCCAAGGAAATCGAATTCAATTCCTAAATGTTTTAGATGTAGAAAAGGCATTTTAAGTTTTTTTTTTCGAAATTTTTAAAATCAACAAATAAATTTTTCCTCTTCACGGGGAACTGAAATCTGCAGAAAAAAGAAATCACAAATGTAAAGCAGCCAATATCTAATTGCTTTTAAAACGGTACTTACGTTCATATGGGCATATGGAAAATTTTGGGATGTATTCCATAACTTTGAAAGATTTGAAATGAAAAAATTCTAAATATTTTCCAAAAAAGCCCTGCAACAAAAATTATAATGAAATCCATATTACATATTTACAAGCTGAAAACAGTTCATTTTTATTATAAAAAAAAAAATTTTTTTTAATTAGTGTACAGTCAAAAATCAGTTCTTAACTGAAGCTTATGAAATCAGGTATAAAAATCAATTTCGCAATTATTCATGGCTACTTGATAGCGAGCGTTCACCCACTATCTCACATGTGTGAGCATAAAGCGGCTGACTTCTGGTCATGGTATTTACCCAATAGTATTTTGTAGCGGTGTGCTCCTGTAAGGCACTGTTAAAATTAGTATTCAAAAAAGATTTTTTTACGAATACGTAATAGAACAAGAAATTGGTTTTTTTATTGGTTAATAATAATATTTCAAAATCGGATAAAAAAGACCGATTAAAAAAGGGGTTGGACGGTTGAATTTCAGAAGTACCAGAGAAATTGATGTGGATTTCTCCGCTTTGGAATCTTTTGTGTACGGTCGTCACGAAGGCTGTCTTAAAACACTTTTCCTTCCCTTTTTGGCATACCTTAATAATATTTTTTTTAAAGCAATGGAAGGGAAATAAGGATTTAAAATGTAGCCGTTTTTAAAAAGGGCCATCAAACGTTGAACTATTTTTCGTAAATTTTGCTTTTTTAGAAAGAATGATAAACTTATATTAATTAGGGATATATTCAGTCGCAACCTCAGCTCAAAAATTTCGTTGATAGTGAGAGAAAGCGTCTTTCCTGACCAATCGCTTACAAATTACGATTCAATTAAAACTAATTCTGAATACAGGCAGAAATCAATAGCTTCTTGCTGCGCTTTTCACGTATATGAAAAAGGCCTACGTACCTATCAACCGATCTTTTACATTTAATGAGATGGTATAATAGAATAGAGAATTTTATTTCGTGTAAAATGCTTCTAGTTATTGCTGCAATTTTTCAAGTTTGGAGAAGAAAAAGCATTTTGTAGGGAGGTTCAAAGTAAGTAGCTCTTTCTGTTCTAGATGAAAAATGCCCTACGAAGGGTAATTACATTGCTTTTATGGACATAAAGTAATAGCTTATCAATGTCTGCTACAAGTTTTATGATCCTAAAAAATGAATTCGCCACATAATTTGGCCTTACGACGGTTGAATGGAATTTAATTAAACCTTTCTTAAGGTAGTGTTATCGCCTTTACTTAAAGAAATTTTGCTATTGTGCAGAAAAAGCTTCGTCCTCGACAAGCATTTATTGTTCATTTTTTCTTCTTTTTGGTTGAGGCTGCTAATAAGGCTGCCCCCTGTCCCGAACCATCTTCCGCCTGCACCACGTCGAATTTAAAATCACCGCGAACAAGTTTTTTAAGTCTATTACGTAGAAGTGACGGATAATGTGGATACGAACGATATACACTGCCATCAGCGCCAATAATTAAGTAAGGATCGCCTACGCGCTCAACTAAGCAAGCTAGGCAAGCTGCGACCATATTCGCAGATCTCGTCGATATTGCACTGCATATGTAACGAAGATTATCGCAATCGCCATTTGTGGTGTGCTTGTAGCCCATTTTTTCAAAAAATTTCCGGGTAATTGCATAATGGCCTGGCTCTTCAAGTTCAATTTGCGACATATCGTGAATTTTAAATGCCGTAGGTGTAAGTATCTCTTTGGACAGAATACCTTTTAACATTGCTCCAGCATTTATACAATCCAGTAAGGTTAGACGTGCAATTTCTCCTAGATACAGGCCAGAGACCATCTTCTCATATATTTGCTGGCCAGGATACATAGAATTTTTGTTTACAGTAAAATCGACTGACGTGCGTATAAAATCCAATGCTCCATCGTTACCAAAAGCTCCCGCTTCACAGTTAATAACCATGGTTGGAGTATAGTTGCCGGCGTTTTTGAAAAGCTGTATATGTTTACTCTTTTCAAGATAGCACATATTGCAGCCGCTGGAAATAAGAACTCCAATTTTAGCTTCTTTATGTTTCCACGCACAAGAAATAAGGGCGCCAGTCGTATTATTTAAAATGATGATATCGTTTATAGACAGATCACCTCTACGTACTATAGCTTCTTGCAATAAAGCAATAACGTCATGACCCACCACTCCGGATACCTTGTAGCCTTTAGTCCATTTGACCAAGATACCTTTGCTTATACTGGTTTGTTTTAAAGGGAAAGCAAAAGTAAAGCCTAAGCTGAGTTCATCATATTGTAAATCATACTTGACGATAAAATCGGACAAGCACTGGGCAAGGAAATCGAAAAAATGACATGCTGTGTCTACCTTAATTTCAGGGGGTACATCAAAATTTTGCCATTCTATCTTAAAGTCGTCGTCACCCTGTAAATTTACACATAAAACGCGACAAACATCCCCGCTCAATTCTAACGACAAAAATTTGCCGCGTTCGCAGCCACTTGGAAGCTTTTCCACAAACGTCATGTAGCATTTGACGGACGCCTTCTTGTGAGTGTATTTTCCCAAGCCTTTCTTAATGTCAACCAGAAAGAGATCCATAATTCGTTTATATGTGCCATCGCTCAAAATGAATGGTTTACATATATCTTTCACTATTCTGCGATTAGCTTCTATCACGTATTGGGTAAAGTCCGGTTTAGGCATTTTAAATATAACGAAACTTGAGGAAGAGAAAGTTTGTCGAAATTTATTTTGACAATATTTTTTATATGATAGATAAAATGACTTAACAAAAAAAAAAAAAAAATAACTAGCTAAAAGATTAAAAGGTAAAATTCGAATTACGAGGGATACTTGAAATTATTTGGTTAGAAATGTGAAAGTGTTCATTTTTTCTTTTCTTTGAGAAATTTTTTAGTCCCAGGCGGTCAACAACATGAAGACAAATCTGAAAGTTAATATAGGCCGCAGGGAGATCTTATTCTTTTTGCACTGAATTGGTGTGACTAGTACAGATGAATGTTATATTCTCGCTGAATGACGAATGTGGCAATTTCGGCAGAGTACGATCTCTTTTTGAAATATTTGAAAAGGGAAACTACTAGATTCCGTACTGCTACTGCTACGACTACTCCTTAGACTAGACTACGGATTATAGATTTGTTGATATTGATAGGATGTCTCTTCTCATGCAATGAATACAGACTAAAATCAGTGATGATAATCTTCTCCCATTATGAACAGTAATTTTAAGACACTTTCAGCTAGACATCCAGTTCCTCTTCACATAACTCCGATCTGTTGGCCGATCATTTCCGTTGTTCTTGAACGGGAACTCAGAATGCTATTTAACAGGCGATAAGTCATTACAATTTGATCGTGATCAAGCAATTGATGACAATTTTTAACCGAAACAATTAGGGATAAATGGTAATTAGTCTATAAAGGCTGAAAACTAAGCACATAGAGCACAGAGGTGAAAGTACTGTAGCCTAGAACATAGAGTTAAGTGAAGTTTTTTATATCCAGAATGAATAGGAGTTTATAAATGAAGGGAGAATTCAAGATTCATGAAGAGCACTATACTCGGATAAAGCCGAGCATTATGTACCCTATCTACTGTTCAAAATGAGGAGTTGTGTGGAAAGTGATCGAAATAGTGATACGATCTGAACCAACGTAGCATTCTTCCTTGGGCCAAGATCGGCCAGTGTATTATCAAAATATCTCAAAAACGGCTGCCTGTACTTTGAACACAAAAAATAAGACGGACAGATGGACACATTGACTTTAATCGATTTAGGAAGTGATTCTGAGTCGATCGCTAAAATAAAAGATATCTTAAGTCATGCCGGGTGTTACATACGTCCGAAGAATCTTAATAGACCCTGTACCACAAATGGGAAAGGATATGAAAAGGAAACAAATAAAGTTCATAGAGGACATCATCGTTTTGTTGATTACTCAGCTTGCACGCAACCCCTCGATACCCTTTGTTTCTCTTCTTAGCAGAACTTTATAACTTTTTTATCCGGGTGTGTACGTAGGATGTGAAATATACACAGCTGTAAATAGGTTACTCGCCCTATTCAATGCACTGGTGGCTAATGTTATCAAGAGAATTTGGGCCAGTTAATTCCATACCTAATTACAAAAGAAAAATCCAATATAGTATTTGTTCGTTTGCTATTTGTTGATGTAGTCGAAAGTGTTTTAAAAATAAAACAATTCTTTGACAAAATCATTATATTTTACAATATCATTTCGACCAACGTATCAAATTGTAAACTTTTGAAAAAATCGTGGTGTTTCTGATAAATAAGTTTTAAAAAAATTACCTGAACGTCGTCTCTCTTCTCGAAATTGGACCTTAAAGACGGTTACGGTCCCAACGACCAACTGTTGATAAAGTCGAAGTAATTTTTCGAGGAATTGAGGAAGACAGACGTACACTCAACTTTTCTTTACACTGTAAATACTTGCCTTAGAAAATCGTGCAATAATAATAATATAGAAAAAAAACCGACGACGTATGGCCAATTTGACGATTTGTTATACAACTTTAAAAGATCGTGTAAGATGAAAAAACGTTAAATATTTCGCGAAAAAAACCGTGCAAAAAAAGCAATAATTAAGTCCATATTACATATTTATAAAACAAAAACCATTTAGTTATCTTAGAGAAAAAAAAAATTAAAATTATTGTACAGTGAAAATTCAACTCATAAGTGTAACATATATGTATATATATTTATATATATATAGATATATATGTATATATACATATATACATATAGATATATACATATAGATACATATAGACATGTATGTATATATACATATAGACATGTATGTATATATACATAAAGACATGTATAAATATACATAGATACATAGATATTATATATAGATAGATATAGATATGTATAGATGTATATATATATATTTAACACTAAACGTACCAACATTTCATCCTACCATGAGCGGTCAAATGACCGCTTCAAAAAAACGTATGTATCTTAGCAAAGTAGATAGTAAACAAAATATTTTTCTGATGCTACAATAAAAACTCGTTCCCCGCTTTTCGATATATGTATATTTTACGAAAAGTCAATAAGCTACATGATGATACAATAACGTTGAATGCGAGAAATTTTAAACCAAATTTTAAAAACGGTTATTTGACCGCGCATGGTACGTTTAGTGTTAAATTGAGATTATATTTATATATATATATGTATATTTAAATTGGGATTAGGAATAAAAATCAACTCCGCAACTATCCACCGTTGCGTGATAGCAAGCGTGCACATTTACTATGGAGTGGAGTAGGAATGCTATCATCAGTGGATATGTCGGATATATGTCTAGCTCTGTCTAGTAATATACCGTCAAAATTGGAATTGGTTTAAATATGTAAAACTTCGAACCAACTCTTAATGATAAATAAAAATATATTTCAACGTTTTTAAGGAAGATTTTATTCTATTGTTTGTTTAATGCAGGCAGAACTACAGGCTAAGATGATCGAATTCAATTTTGATTAAAAATTTTTTCGCGAATTTAAACTAAATTTTTTTGTATGGTTCGTAATACCGTTAATTTTGTCTTCTAAGGAGAAAAGCACTTATTTGTCCCTGTTTCCTTTTCTAGCCGACGCGGCTAATAAAGCTGCTCCCTGTCCTGAATCGCCTTCCGCTTGCACCAGATCGAATTTATATTCGGGACGAACAAGTCTTTTCAATTTTCTTTCTAGACGAGTAGAATAATTTGGATAGGTATCGTATATACTGCCTTTAACGCCAATAATTAAGTAGGGATCACCTATGCGATCGATTAGACAAGCTAGACAGGACGCGATCAGATTGGCTGATCGGGTCGATACCACAGTGCATATGTAACGAAGATTTTCACAATCATCATTTGTAGGCTCCGAGTAGCCCATCTTCTCAAAAATTGTTCGTGTAAGCGCATAATTGTCTGGACCATCACCCTCAATTTGCGACATGTCTTCAATATCAAATATCATTGGTGTTCGCACCTCCTCAGAGAGTTCTCCTTGCATCATGCCCCCAGCTTTTATACATTCCAACATTGTCAAACGTGCAACTTCTCCCAAATACATGCCGGAAATCATTTTTTCAAATATTTGCTCGCCGGCATATATAGAATTTTTATCTAACGTAACGTCAATTGGTGTACGCATAAAGTCCAAAGTTCCATCATTTCCAAAAGCACCTGATTCGCAATTAATTATCATAGTAGGGCTGCTATTAGCATTACTGCGGGTTAATTGAAGGTATTTCGTCTTTTCGAGATAGCACACGTTGAAACCGGTGGAAACCACAAGACCAATTTTAGCTTCTCTGTACTTCCAAGCACAAGAGACAAGCGTACCGGTCGTATCATTCGCAATAACGATATTGTTTATATGGAGATCGCCTCGACGATTAATAGCGTCTTGCAGCAAAGCAACAACATCGCGACCGACCACACCGGCACAACTAATATCTCTAGTCCACGTGGTGAGGATAGCTTTTTTTATACTTGTTTGATTTAATGGGAATCCAAAGTTAAAGCCTAAACTAAGATCTTCATTTTGTAAATTATGATTGGAGACGAAATCGGCAATGCATTTAACAAAGAAATCGAATAAATCACGGCCTGGGCCTACCAGTATTTCTGGAGGTATTGGATAATTCTGCGAGTACATTCTAAAGTCTCTATCACCTTGTAAATTAATGTATAAAACGCGGCAGCGTGTTTCGTCCACATCCAAAGCCAATGATTTGCCGCGTTCACAGCCATTCGGCAATTTTTCCACAAAAGTCATGAAACATTTAACGGCGGCACTTTCATGAGTATATTTACATAAACCTTTCTTAATTTCACCCAGAAACATTTCCTTAATTCGTTTGTAGATGTCATCGCTTAAAACAAATTGTTTACAAATATCTTTTACAATTTTATGCTGTGCCTCAATTATGGTCTCATTCAAATCCGCTTCGGCCATTGAAAATATTTGCAAAATTTAAGAATTTTTCTACAAATTTTTGAAAATTTTTTGATGTGAGACAAAAAACGAAAAACAAGAGGAAACGAAAATTCTTATTATGAGAAATATCACTTGTACTACTTGTACTTGTCGAACTTGTCTTACGTTTAGAAAAGCAATCTTGTTTTTCTTTTTTTTTTAGAAACAAATAAGATGATTGTAAAACTGCTATCTTTACATAGTAAATAAACTTAGTTCAAATGTTGCTCTGGTGAGCAGGGAGGATTATAGGAAGGGTGGAGAGAAGAAAGGGAGTAGTAGATATTAGGCACGATAGGAAAGATCACTGTCGGTAGGTTGTTCCAATGGCTGACGGAACGTTTGAAAAACGACTAGCCGCGACAGTATGTTGTACGGTACACGGGTAAATCTAGGACGTGTGGTTGAGAACGCTGAGAAAGACGTGCTGTCCTGTTGAAGGATTTAATTGGTGAACATATCTCTTTTATCTCCGTAGGACCCTTGCCCGCAGTACACGGATATATAAGCGAAACACAATCATTACGCTGATGCTCAAGGGTATCGATAGATGTGGACACTATTTCATCGGTCGTGAGCACTTGAGGTTTTCGCTGTATGCGAACGAGAAACCTTTCTTTGGGGGCTACCGCCGCCATCTGAGGGTTATATTTTCACTTCGGCTGGATATAACTCGTAACTCGCTTTTGTTTCTTTGCTTGCTTTGAATCGTGTTAAAACTTTCATTTGTAAACTGAATTGAAACTCTCTTTTATTTACAGTGGAAGAAAAATTATTTTCTGCTGGCACATTGTTTGCATTGACTTTCAAAACTTTGCATCCAAAATGGTTCCATGAAAATATCGTAAATATAATTAGCCAGCTAAGCTACTAGAAAGCAATAATTGAAACATTCAACTTTACAAGGTGTGAAAATTACGTTTAATTAAAGGAAAGCAAGTTAGACCTCAACTCTATGCGTTTATGTTATGATATGAATGACGAAAGTTTTTTCTAGCTGCTGCATTTAAACTTGAATTGATTTTTTGCTGTCGATATTGAAACTTGGCTTCCGCCTGGAAATTTCATTGCGCGTATATATGAAGATTTTCTTTAATGGAAAAAGTTTTTACTAAATATCGAATCCAAAAGCTAGATATGCCTTCATGAAAATATCATATTGTTTGACGAGTATGTCTTCTCTCAACACCTTCTGTTGCGGCTAATAAAGCTGCTCCATGCGCCGAGCCATCTTCTGTGGACTGCAGGCTAAATTTATGTTCGGGACGGACAAGCTGTTTAGTTTTTTTTCGCAAGCGCTCGTGATAATTTGGGTACGAATTATACACTTCGCCATCGATGCCAATAACTATGTAAGGATCACCAATGCGATTGACGAGACATGCTAGGCATATGGCGATCAACTCCGCTGATCGCGTCGACACCGTATTGCATATGTAACGGAGATTATCGCAATCCTCATTTGTAGCTTCTTTATAACCCATGGTCTCTAAAATCTGCCGCGTGGATTGATAAGCACCTTCTTTCTCGTTTTCAATTTGTGACATAAGCTTGGTATTAAATACCATTTGTTTACCTATTTGCTCAGAAAGATTTCCCTTTAACATGGCACCAGCATTTATGCATTCAATCATCGTCAGACGTACTATTTCTCCCATATACATACCGGCGACCATTTTATCAAATATTGCTTCATTCGGATTGGTAGAACTTGCATCTAGAGCAAAATCGATTGGCGAACGCATAAAGTTTAGCGCACCGTGATCGCCAAACGAAGACCATTGTGTGTTAATTAGCATAGTGGAATTAAGTCTATCTTCGTTAAACAACTGAATGTGTTTCATTTTTTCCTCATACGCAGCGTTTGTATCCTGATCAATAGTAACACCAATTTTGGTCTCTTTATGCTTCCAAGCACACGATATTAGTGTAGCGGTCGTACCATTTAAAACGAAAATATTTTTTATGTGAATATTATCCCGACGAGATAAAGCTGCTTCAAGCATAGCAACAACGTCATGACCTACCACATCCTGACATTCAAAATCTTTTGACCAACTAATCAGGATACCCTCATTTAAAGAATTTTTCATCAGTGGAAATGAAAATGTAAAGCCCAAATTAAATTCCTCAGATTGCAATTCGTGTGCTTGTATGAAATTAGACATGCATTCGGCAAAGAATTCAAACAAATGCTCTCCTGGACCAGTCAATACTTTTGGTGGCAATTGAAAGTTTTGAGATTCCACTTTAATGTCGTCAACATCTTGTATGATTAAGAGTAAAATGCGAAAATTCGATCCACCAACATCCAGGGCCAGAAATTTTCCACGCTCACACCTAGTCGGCAGTCTTTCCACGTAGGTTGGGTAGCACTTAACGTCCGCCTTTGATTGCGTATATTTGCACAAACCTTTCTGAAGTTCGGCCAGGAAAAGATCATTAATTTGTTGACAGGTCTCTTCGTTTAAGACAAAGGGCTTGCAAAACTCCTCCACAATTTGGCGGTTGGACTCATTTTCATCCTGCTGAGATCCTTCCTCAGCCATTTTCTAAATTTTGAATTTTACAAAATTTTTATTTAAAAAATTTTTCTTGTAATTCTTATGTGATAGACCAAATAATACAATAAAAGAATTTCAAGGGAAAAACAAAAAGTGAGAAGAGTAGATTGAGAGTGAATATTTGACATCTACTACCGAAAGCCAAGCCAAGTAATTGCAAAGCATTTGATCCGTATTGCTGCTTAGTTGGTCTTGTGATTGTCTCCTTTTTCAGCAAAATATTGCATTTACCTAAAGTATCACTTAGCGTGCCCAAAAAGAATTTAAAACATCAAATTATCTATTTTGTTGGTAGATTATTGATGATGACCTTCAACTGCTTTATTTGCAACGGTCACAACGGTTTGACAAGCACGAAAATGATTACATTAATCTAATATTGTTGGGAAAATCACACATTTGATAAAAGGAGTCTGCTGCATGAAAACTACTTTGCTTTCTAGGAATGAAATTCTTAAAATGTAAAGAAACCGCACACAGATCCATGATGTTGTAGTTGGCGGCGCTACTGACGATTCGTAGAACATTTCGCAGGTAAAACGTGGTGAAATGAGCTTTGGCGTGGGCGACTGGATTATAAAGGGGTATACAAGTAGATTTTTTGTAGATGGCAGAGACTGTCGAGACGAAAGTGTTGACGCGTCATGTTGGAACAGGAAAGAAGGGAAGAAGCGCTGGAATGTTGTAAATGTCAAATCATAATTCAGTGATGCGATCTTAATCTTAAAACACGTAAAAAAAATATAATAGCATATGGCGCACGATTACATAGCACTACTTCGCTCGAGGCAGTTACTCATATAACGGTATTTCAAAATAAGAAAGAAGGGCGCCCTTTTTCCATATCAAGTTTTCAATGGAAGCGCTACCCAATTGGGACATAAATCTTGTATTGAAAACATTATGAATTAAAGAAAGAAAAACTTGGCCAACCGAGTGTCAAATCCCAATGTTTAGATGCTCACATTTTCTGAAGAAATACATCTAAAGCTAATAGGTGACCGCATGTACTTTGATCATTGACATCTATTAGTGAAAATGATAAACTTATACGGAGTATCAATGTGCCGCAACCTTAAATTCGATGATTTTGACTTTTCTCCACATAATATTAATGAGGTATTCAGTTATACACCTACGCTAATCATAGAACGTCCAAAACTGCATTTTCGGCATTCATTACTTTTGTTATTTGATTTAAAGAAATCTGATGGCGAAGCATAACAAACACTCTTAGAAGCTTATGGTGATGCTGGTTCTTCATATTCCAAGTGTCGGCTTTGCCGTCAAAGGTTTAAAGGTGTTTGTAGGACCAAAAAAGCGCAAAGAGAATGAAATGCAAGACTAATTAAACGAAACCCCGAAAATCCTCAAACTCTCAAAAAACTTCCAAACAGCTTAGCAGTTGAGGAATCAAAGATTTTCTATACGTTTAGATGCGATGGGAAAGATACAAAAGTAGCGAAAATGACTACGACATGACCTGACTGAAAATGCCATTACGAATTGTGTCAACATCGCTGTTTCGTTGCTTGCCAGGCAAAAAAAAAGTTTGTGGCTGGCGATGAAAAGTGGATCTGCTACAAGAATCCCAAGTACAAAGGTGATGAGCTAATCCAGGAGAGCCATTCATATTGATACCGATGCGGAATATTCATGGTTGTAAAATTTTGCAGTGCCTATGGTGGGATCATACAAGATGTAATGTATTACAAGCTGCTAAAACCTAATGAAGCTGTTAATGCAGATGTCTACCGACATTAATTAAACAAATTGAAAGATATATTCTTGCAAAAAAGAACAATAGTGGCTAACAACGCTCGGTCATATGTTGCGAGAGTTGTCAAGGAGACAATGTTGCCACTTGAATGAAAGATTTTGCCACACCTAGCATACTTATCAAACATAGTGCGTTCCTATTACCACTTGTTCAGATCGATGCACCATGCCATGTGATTTTAAAGTGCGGAAGAAGTGCGAAAATGGGTCCGTGATTGGATGGAAAAGATGAGAGCAAGTTTTACAATAATTATCGATAATATTTTGATTGATACGTATTCAAGTGAAAAATGGTCAAAATGCATGCATGCACTTAATATATTAGTAACTTTTTCTAAAGGAATATATTAAAGATTTCTCGATAAATATGACTTTTCACATATTATAGCTTGGTTGTCGGCAGTGATCTGCAGAAATAATTTCATTGACTTTGAACAGCTCATGATAGATTTCATTCCAAGAAAGACAAAGCTGAATTTTAGTGGTGTAAATATTGGGCTTTGATATCGAGGTGTTTGTCAAGCTTGTTTCGATGGCACGTTGGTTTTTTGAGTTTCTGATTGTTATACGCAGCCCACTTTTTATTACCCACGACTATACTACTATATTGACACTTTCTTGAATGGTTTTCTTTTGGTCTATAACTCAACTTAGTGAAGGTAAATAAAAGTTATGCTGCGAACGTTTCGGCAAGTGTTGTGGCGTGAAGAATTCTTCTTCTTCTGTGAAGCAGCATATCCACAACAGATTAAATACTGAGTTGAGTGAAAAAGGACGTGAACACTAAAGATAATACTTTAACATAGAGAAGTTGCAGTAAAGTAAGCTGCTGATCGCTACTTGAAGAAGCTTCGTGGAGAGCAGTATCGTGCAAGTATAGTAAGTAAAACAAATGCTTTTAAAAATAATTTTCTCATTCAAAATATTATTAAAAATTTTAAAGATCTTTCGGAAAACTTAAAGGAAACAATTCTATGAATTCACAATTTTCAATAGATTATCGAAGAGTTTGCTTAAGTGTAAAGTTGAAATCTTAACTAAAGATTATCTTAACTTGTGAAGAATGCTTAAGAACAAAATACTCATTTAAAAAAATTTACAAAATTCGAGTAATATTTTCGTTCCGTTTATGACACAAGAGAATTCGAGGAGTCGATGATTTCATTCTGTTTATGACACAAGAGAATTCAGATAAGGAGGTTATTGTAAACAAAAAAAAAAAAAAAACAAAAAAAATATCAAAATTTTTTCTTTAAAGTCCTAAATAGTAAGTTAAGTTAATACGATATAAAAATGATAAATAAATGCTTATTTTCAACGTTAGGAAGGTTTATGAAATTTTCTTGAAAATTGTTACAATTTTTATGCGAAAAAGTTAACTTAATTTAATTAAGCTAAAAAGGAAGAAAACAAACAAACAAAATGCTTAATTAAAAAAAAAAAGAAAAAAAAACAACACAATACAATAAATAGAAAGTTTCCCAAGAAAACGTGAACAAAACTTAACAAATTTTTTTCTTAACATTAACTTAGAAACTTGGGCCATTAAGTTTTTTTTTTTTTTTTGCTGTTTTTTTCTATTTTCATATTCTACTATCTTACGGTCAGGTAAGAAATAAATCTAAAGCGGTTTGCTCTGCCAGATCAGCATGAAATAGATCGAAAGGATTGAAGGGCTCGAGTGCCATTAAAGGGCTAATGCAGGCAGAAGGAGGTGGATCGGCTTGATCTATTGTAAAAGTTAATGAATCGTCTTGCATCGGTTCCACTAGGCGCAAACTCAATTCTAAAGGATTCTCTAAAGATGTTAGTTCCTTGCTAGCGTTCTCGTAGGAGTTTGCCGTATTTGAACAGGTACGATTGGCTGTTTGCAATGGACTTAAGCAACTTTCGGAAAGATTAAGAGATTCACCGTCCGATTCCAATAATAAATTGTTATTCTCTGCCGATCCGGTTTTGTAGTGAGTAGGATTTTGATAATTTTGTTGATGATTATTAGGCGTATATATAAAATTAGTTGTCACATTTTGATTCTCATAGACATACGATGAATTCGATAAAGGAGAAGCCGAAAAATCTGAACTTAATGAAGCGTAAGCTGAGGATATATTCGATAATGGTGACTCTTGGCAACGTAGAGAGGCGGGTGATGTGTAATAATTTTGAGTATCTATTGGCTTTTGTTTCTTACTCGTTTGACGTTTCGTCAAACTCTTACGGGTAACGTTGGTTTTTTGTTTTTCTGCATTATTTTTCATTTTCACTTTATTTCCTTTACGTTTAGTACAAATTTTCGCATTGCTCTCTTTTTCACCTTTACCCAATTCCGTCGTCGATATAGTTGCCGGGGAATACAATTTTGCTTGTGTGCAATCATAAAGTAATTCGTAATCGGCCTCACCGGGTTTTGTTAAAGCTTCACTTAATATACGTATGTATTTCATTGCCAAACGTAATGTTGTAATTTTCGTTAGTTTTTCATTTGTGGCTCCGGCATCCTCATTCGTGATGCAGGATGGAACGCAGTGCCTGAGATTTTCGAAAGCAGTATTAATTTCACGCATGCGCGTACGCTCTCTGGCGTTGGCAGTTTTTCGACGATATTTACTTAATGGGGCAGCTTTACTTTTTGCCTTGCCTGCGTTCGAGTTTGTGTGAATTGCAAAATTTTTAACAGAATTCAGTCCATTCTGACCTGATTCAGAGGAATTATCACTATTATAATCCTGGTTATCCAATGCATTAGCTAAGAAATGTTTCCGTTTCTGCCGCTGACGTAAAGAGTATTTTTCGCTATCCATTTTCGGTTCTTTCTGTAAAAAGCAGAAATAATTTATTAGACGTAAAATCAGAAAATAAAAAAAAAAACAAACGGGAAAATTAAATGCCCTGCACCACCCTAAAGTTAGTCATATAAGGGACATTACATTGCAAGTGGTCAAAAAAGTGTTCCGTTCCGAACCATTTTCAAAGCTTTCGTCTTTGAGTCAAAACACGATAGAGCATATCAAATTCCATCGAGATATCTGCGGCCTGTAGGTTGCACATAAGAATCCAAGGCAGATAGACCGCAGACGGATAGAAAAACTTAAATCCGTTTCGAAAGTGATTCTGAAGAGACTGATATTCAAAACGTTGAGCATATTTATTGTCTTTCTGGGTGTTGCAGACATTCACACCAACATCCTTTATAACAAGTGATGTAATGCATAAAAATAGCAAAGAAAAAACTGAATCAAAAACAGGGAATGCGTAAGCTAGCGTAAACTAGCTAAGCTTTTTCTAAAATGAAAAGATAATTTTTTAAAAACAGAGAACTTGGAATAGAAAAAAATAATTTAAGACAACTTGCATGGATATATTGCATGGATTTTATGTTTTTACAAACATATTGATTGGATCCCCCAACGGAGTTGCCTTTGTTCCGTGCAAGGCTCCTAACTCATTGAAATGATCGAGATGGAGTGAGTTAACTAATTACGTCTTGCTATGAGCCTCTGTGTTGATGTCACAATTATTATTTCAACAATTATATAAATTGTAAATATGCTGTCGATTTTCGTGCTATCATTAAAAAGAAACTAAATCGGCTCAAGGGTCTACCCAAAATTATCCAAGAGGTGTATGTAAACAATTGTTTCCAGGTTTGTAAGACTATCTGTCGGAACGAACTATCGACGACAACACGATTTAAAGTTCAATACGATTATAAGTGCACAATATATAGGGTGTTTTATACGATATATAACGCACTACACAATGTATGATAAAAGTAGAAATATAAGAAGTTTAGAACACATCTCTTCTTTTTTCACATAAATTTAACATAGTCTTTTTCTCCTAAAAATATACAACGCGATATAGATGCAGAAGTAGATTACTCACATAGATTTATGTACACATGATTCGAAAGAACATGTGACATGTGTATTGTTTAGTGGGGGAAATAAAGCTACAATATGAATATATCGAAACTGGAGGTATCGGTCCTGCTTGATGGTATACAAGGTAACAAAGTGGAATATTTTCTATTTTTTTGGTCGATTAGGCTATGATCTTAATTTCGTCAAATTTTGTATATACACATATATCTTAGGATTGCGTTCGCGCTTCTAATACCGAGAAGTACGCCATCGAGGCTTTAATAAGTGTACATATTTTAGCTAAAGATAAAGTTTGGACTTGTTTCCGCGAAATCCTTCAGTCGTCGAGTTTTTGTCTCTTACTGGGCAATTCAATGAAGCTTGCGAAGATAAATACGAATTTAAAACGGAAAGCACTGGAATAAATGTTCATTCTTTTCCCTTAAAATTTTTACGATATCTTCGATGGAACAACGTTTTGAAGAAAAGTACATAAGATATATTTAATACATTAATTGAAACGTTATTTATTAACGAAAGATTTGCTTTTCTTTGTTCGGAAATGTGTTCATTCAAATATTCGGCAATCGCGCACAAAAATCAATATTTGTATAAATATTTCATTGAAGGTTGAAAGGTATATGTATTTTGTCGAAATGTTTGCAACACATAAACGGAAGCTTCAGAGACTCCATAAAATATTTTTGATCAGCGTCAAATTCTGAATCGATATAAGCATCTTCGTCCGTCTATCTGTCCGTCTGTCCGCCTTTCTGTGTGTGCAATGTCTGTTGTCGAACCGTAGAAATGAAGCTATCGACTTTAAATTTGGCAAAAAGGTTGGAAGCTCTTGCATGCAGGTTAAAAATGAACGAAATCGCTCGAAAGGCACGCCTACAGTATTACATAATGTGCTCTGTTTTTTTAAAGAAATAAAAATCGCATTTTTTTTATCATGATTCATAAATTACAGCAGATAAGTCTATAAAAGCTTTTGCGTACATTCTATGGGAGACGCTAAACTACCCGTAAAAAAATAGCAACTATTTATCACGCCTGCTCAATTTTATGGTGTATCATAATTTCATTTTTTTTTTTATTCAAACCTTAATAAAAGCGAGCTTTAAAAACTTATAAAGTACATAAATTCTTGGCCAGTTTTAAGTTCAGAAGGCACCTAATCATGTCGGTTCGTCCATCCATCTATCCATCTGTCCACATACGCAACTGAATGGTATTAGTGGTAAATATTATCCCATTCTCAAAAATTAAGATATCGCCTACAAACATCATAATCGAAATTTTTGACGCCCACACGCCCACAGCACGCTTATATAATAAAGATTGTAAACATTTTTCTTTTTTGCTTGTTACTCTTAAAGCACAAAACACATACCATACAAATTTCAACTTTTTTCTGAAAAACGATCAAAAAAACAATCGAGCCAACCCAATATTATAGAGTATGAAAATTTAGTTCTTTTACAATAGATTTGATCAGGACGGAATGTAAATTTTCTTATTTGCTTTTATTAACACTGTAAAAGTATGCAATTCTTTGCCTACGAGTATTACACACGCAGGTCGACTAACGAAGTCAAGGCGTTTTACAATTCTTTTATTAATGCATAATTGTTGTAATCTGATTCAATGTTCCACGTCATTATATTACTACTAATGCATTGTATGAATTGCATCATTGTTCCTGCTGGCATGACTTTAATCTGGATATTCTGCTTTATTTTGTCAGGCGTTATTGCCTACTTTACATAGTGACTTAATGCACTTAAGCCTTTCTGTAAAGATAGGAGATTAGTGTTTATAACGGATTAATAATTGATTCCTGATAATTTCTTAGAATATTAAGCTATCGTTTAGTGATTTATAATTGTTTAAATACTGTACTGTAAAAGACATTACAGTTATATTAGTACATCAGAATTATTCGTGGTGTGCTATTATTAATGCCACATTTAATTTAAAGTTGGAATTAGTTCAGTCTTAAGCAATAAATAAGTAGATAAATCTTATCAGAGTCGCTATAATTAATATGCTTAAAACTTTCAACATTCAGAGCTGCTTTGCCGCAGTTAAAATGATGGATGCCCAACACTGGTAACAGCTTAAAAGAAGCGTTTTGTTAAAAATTCTTTTTTGAAGAAAAAGTCAACTATTAAGACAAAGAGTAAAAAAAAAAAAAAAATTCGAGGCATTCTTAAAAAAAAAACAAGTAAAAAATTATATTCAGTCATGACCGATTTTTTTTTGCACCCATTATCCTGATCCTAAAAAAGTAAAAACACTAAATATTCATGCTCCACAAGACGGTGTGGATGCGGCTGATTTTTTCTATTTTGAAAATAAAAGTTTTTGTGTCATAGCTGTGTAGGCCTTGTAGGAGTGCGTTTAGAAAAATTTAAATCACTTGCAAGTTCTTTTGCAAATTTGTAGGCGATATTTTCATTTTCGGCAACGGTAGAATCGTTACTACAGGCACTACACAGTTGCACAGACGGACATATGGACAGACAAAAATGCTTAGGAGCATTCCAAATTTGAAGATTATATACTTTGTGGTGTTTTGAAGCTTATTCCTGCGCCTTATAAAATTATTTTAAAAAAAAAAATTAAATTTTGATACACTATAATATTTGTAAGTGCTGTCAATTTTTCCCATTTTTGCACGGGTACCACAGCATTGTCCGTAGAACAGATATTGAAATTTTGGCAGATTTGTCTGCTATAGTTTATGAATAATGGATAAAAGACCAATTTTTCAATTCGTTGAAAAACGAACGGGATTATCAGTTTAGGTGGCGCTGTGGACGTGTGCTTCGACAAATATGGCTCATTTTGAATTTGATGCTGATCAAAAATATATACACTTTGTGGAATCTCTGATGTCTCTTATTGCGGGTTGTAAACGTTTTAACAATGGGTATAAAAAAAATCATTATATTAACATGTTTGCATTGGCGTACGTAGGGGACTTTTATGTAATAGGAAAGTTTTTTCAATGAATTTAAATTATCTTTTCCAAAATACATTACGTTCCCTTTAAAAACTTATATTAAAGGTATTCTAAAAAGTACACATGAGTGAAGAAGAGAGAGATTGAGGAAGATTTTCTTATGGTTTCTTTTCAACATCCATTTCAAGAGAAACATCTTTAAAGATGTTTATTAAATATTAGTTTGGGGAAAAAGAAATCCATTATTCTTTTGGTAGATGGCTGCACTGATAGATTTCTCGTAAAGTATCGATCAAACAATTTCATATTTAAGCTCGTTAGAAAGGTGACATTTCGCAGTAAAAAAATTCTTTTGCTGTTTTTTGTTTGGTGCATTCAGTTGTGAGTTACAGCGTGTTAAAAATGGAAGTGAACAAAGAGAAAATTCGGTACATTTTACAGTTTTTCTTTGACAAATGCGAAGATGCAAGCCAGGCGGCTAAAATTGTGAGTGGTGTTTATGGTTCCGATACTGTAACAGCCAATTATATGCAATTTTGGTTTCGTAGATTCCGTTCAGGAATTTTTGATGTTAAAGATGCACCTCGCACAGGTAGGCCGGTCGTCGAAAATGTCGATAAAATCGGAGAAATGATCGAAGTTGACCGGCATGTTAGCAGTCGTAACATCGCCCAGGAGCTAAAAATCGACCATAAAACAGTTTTAAACCATTTACACAAAGCTGGATTCAAAAAGAAGCTCGATGTTTGGGTGCCACACCAATTAACAGAAAAAAACATGATGGATCGAATTTCCATCTGCGAAGCCTTGGCCAAACGGAATGAGATAGATAGATTTCTTAAACGGATGGTGACTGGAGATGAGAAATGGATCACATACGATAACCCTGTGTGAAAACGATCGTGGTCAAAGAGCGGTGAAGCACCTCGAACGGCCAGGAAGGTTTTGCTATGCATTTGGTGGGACTGGAAGGGGATTA